TAAAACGATGAATGATGAGAGGCAAATTTTGGATGAATAAAAAGTTTCCACTCAATGGGTTCGTGAATAAGTTCAAGCTTCTTGCATCACGTAATACGTACTACGTAAGCTTCAGCATACGATCCGTCAAGATGGGTTTGTGAAATCAAGTTTCGTATCCGGTAATTAGATGCGACATGAAGGAACCTTCCACTCCAATAATTTCAATCGTATGACCCCCATGGTCAGCACAGGGTCTTAATCATTAGAACGATCCGGGTAACATGAAAAGCAATCATTTCACAGGCTGGAGAATGACACAGAACGATTAGATCAATTTAAAAGAAAGAAATAAAAAGATATTGTATTAATGTTTAGACTGATGCTCAATCATTTTCGTAATCCTTCCAATCACAGGCATTCTCACTTCCAAAGATTACACATGTGCGTGGAAAATGTCCTATGAATAAATCAATCGAGTGGGTGAAAATTGAGTTTCAACGTATGTTCGACACATGCATTATGCTGACACAACCCTATAGTGCAGTTGATTAAAAAAGTTCTTCTCTTAATTTTCAGATAACTCACTTCGTTCCGTGATTCCGAGATGCTAAATCATCTGTCGCAATCATCGGTGGCGATCTCAGTTGGTCAATTGAACTTCCATCGGGTCCTCATCATCCCACTCGCAGCCATTTCCGGCGGTTTCATTTTGGGATCGGGTCCACTGCGCAATTCACAGTCACAGCCGGATCGGGCGTCCACATCTCAAGAACCAATTCCCCGAAGGGACACGATGTCGATCCTGAAAACAGACTGCATCAATTACAATATATTTAAATGGACTCCTTCCGCAGCGTCGTAACCCTGCCAGCAAAACCCATGTTTTCAATCATCAACACGGGAACAATCCGAGGCGCACATGGACCATCTGAAACGTTCCGCTTGGATCAACGCCAACAATTATTCTTTTCTTCCCCTCTCGTAGTCTCGAACTAAGCACGTTTTTGCAAGCGTATAGGCCAGGCCGCACATTTCTTCCGAAAAGACCCGTTGAACCTTAGGCAAGCCTTACAATCGGGATTTTCAAGTACTGTATAGGCAACTCCGAGGTTCTACTCTACCTATGCGGCCTAAATTAGAACAATATCATCGCATTTGGCCGAACAATTCCATGGCTTACTAATTGAAAATAAGTTTATGACGTATTCGTTCAACAGGAATCCTTTACATTCAAACCATTATTCGTAAGGAACATCTCGGCAAGTTTCAGATCAATGAAGCCTGAAAAGCACACTATTTTCTATTTTTGGGACTTCTTTGTCAGAAAATGTTTCAGCATTGGTCTGTGCATCGACATTATTTATTCAAAACTGCAATTTTCGCCTTCAAATACTGGTAAAACACGTGTAAATACGGATTTGGTAAACTCACGATGAAGACGACTGTGAAAAATTAATTCTCACGGAATGTAAAAAATGTTCATAAAATTATACAATATTGAAAATTTTTTGCGTAAAGAACAGTACCAAGAATAGACCGCTCCTAAATGTTTGTGACAGTGGTGAGAATGAATGTAATGTAGAAGGATTTTCCGAAATTGACAGAGGGCCATGTTCAAAATTACTTTATTATGCTATTAAGGAATAAATTCGTCATTTTCAACGTTTCTTTCCTGAAAATCCGGTGGATATTTCTTGAGATAAGAAATCCGATTCACATAAAATTTGTCCCAAATCTCCGAAAAGTATATTACTGTATTTCAACAATGGCGGAATATATTTGTTTTCAGTAATTTGTTCGAGGTTCTTGGTAATTTCTTCAAAATTGTTCAACTCTTTCCAACAGAATGCATGGTAAGAAAGGAACGGAATCAGAAGAATCGTAAATATTTTCCCACGATCACCAGTTCCAAATTAATTTCACAGTTCGTTGAAAGTTTGGAAAAGCAGTTGACAAAAGACAAGCACTGTTTCTGAAGTCTGAAAAATTTTGAAGAAATCTTGAGCGACACTTAATACACAGGTCTGAGGCGAACAATTTTACCGAGTAACACCACGTTTATTTCTACATTTTCATTTGTTTTTCCGAACATTCAGTCAGAGTAAGGTTCTCTTCATTTACATGCATCGCTTATGCTGGGTTCAAATTTTATCGAACTTCGACTGAATCTTGTTTTTTGTTTTTAGAGGTCCTTGCTTCCCGTGACTATTTCGCAATGTTTTGGAGCCCGCAAGTTCGACGTTCATTGAGAATACACTATTCAATTCTAAGAAATAACGCGAGATAAACAAGGTTGATCTAATGTCGGATACCTTCTCAACCCTTTGAACAAATTCCAAATTTGCACTGTACATAAAAACAGTAATATCATTTAAACTGTAAAGCATTCGTTGTTTTGTTCATAATTGTTGTCAATGGCCTCATGAACCATTTTCAACGTGTTTATGTTGACTTCAAACTGTTCAAAGAAATTTCTTGGCCAACCGACACAAATAGAAGAAAAAAAAACCGAGAACACCGAATGAGCACCTTTCAAGGTTGATTCAGTTTTCAGAAACTCTTCACTAAGGAGACGAATAACAAATTAAAATGTTATCCTCATCCTGTATCTCGAATCACAATAAATTGGAATTTGTCAACAGAGCGAAATAATTTCGCATAAATAATTTCGCGAAATAATTATCGCATTTTAGTCTTCGAATTGAATCTGTGACAAGATGGTGGCCTTAGGCAGGTGGTAATAAACTGTGAAAACGTCATTCATTCCAAGTTTAGATTATCATACAAACCATTCAACAAGGTACTGTACTCTATAGGTGAAAATTTTTAAAGAGAGATTCAATAACGCTTTGTTTATACTGTACTACGAGTTTAACCTCGGCAAAACGCTGCAAATATTTTATCCACGCCTCACTTTTAAGGGGGTTTCAAGGCTTGCAGTAAAATCTCGTTACAACGAATTGTTGGGTAAAACAGAGACGTTTTTAGATTCCCGCCCAATAGCAATGCATGTACTGTTCATCCATCGCGCTTCATAAAGAATTTATTGTTTTAGCCAAGTTTTTCCCGGCCCCAACAGCTTCGTTGTAACGTGATTTTACTGCATCAAGAACAGAAAACCGGGAAAATCCTCACTGCAAAATAACTTCCGGGACCTCCCTTAGAATATAGGAGTACACCACTGTACAAGAAAAATGCACGACAGACTCTTCATCCCAAAATGTTGACGATTTTGTCATAAGCACGTTTGCGTTGAACACGCAGTATTAGGTATTGCGAAAATGTCCTTTTCTTTCGAAAAAAATACATTTTCTTTAATAGTTGACTGATTTGATTTCGATAACAGCAGCTCTTCATCTTTCCCAAACACTGCCACCATAACGCGACAAGGAACACGTAGGCAGAGTTTCTTACAACGCGAGAACCCGCGAATGCCACGATGGGTTTTCCGGGCAAAACTGAGCAGCTGACTGCTGCTCGACCCGAGACAGCCCCTCATCGCTTCGTGACCTCGCCCTCGTTTCCTTCCGGGGGAAATCATCTGGTTCTGTTCAACCACCACTACCCAACCTTCTTGCGCACTAGCTTCAAGGAGCAGGATATTCACCTGCGCTCGTGATCCTTGACTCGTGCCTTATTGCACGACAGGAAGGCACCCGTTGACATAAATATGGCAGCAAGGCTTGCTATACAGTAGCTGCTCCACGATCAGCGGGGTCAGGAATTTGGCACTCGCGTTTCAGCAGAACATTTCAGGAGGAATTACCATCGTATGGCTCTTCAAGGCAAAAAAAAAAAAAAAAAACAGGGTGGGCCCTCTTTGGTTGTGGGTACGGGCATTATTATTTCTTCAATAATACAGGTGAACGCTCCCTACATGTCTCCAACGTTTTTTTTTCTCAGCAGAGCGAATTTTTTGCCCCCTGGGGTTCACGTCCCATGTTTTAGGCCTTTAGGGGTTCCCTACAACAAAATTCTCGCTACAACAAATTTTTTTCTGGTCCCTTGAATTTAAACGTAGAGAGTCTTGTAATATGAGCCCAACCATCAAGTGAAAAAAAATTTTGCGTGCTGATTCTGAGACAAGTGCGATTTTATGATCCTCGCCTCACCTTAAACTCGATTAAAATGACTCGACATGATGAATGATAATAAATATAAAAATTATTATTCAACATAACTTGACCTATTTACCAAACCCGCCTGACTTGACCTATCCCCTTACTCAATATATCAGTTAAAACAAAACATGTCCATCTTAATTGAAGGTTGACAGATGTTCAATTAGGGGCAAGAACACTTGAGTAAGGATGAGACAAATTTAACCAAGGTCCACCAAATAACAGACGCCGTGCAATCAAAATTCAAGTGTGCAATGACTCAGATCTAGCCATATTAATAACTGTTAGCATCAAATAAAAATTTAATTGCTCTGGGGATAGATTCCTCCAGGAGGAAAACAATTTAGAAATTCGAATTTAAGATGAAGAGATAAACTTTTGTCCCATTGAATATAGTACTGTACTTTTGCGTCGATTGTATTTGAAATTATATTATTTTCTCGGGATTACCTAAAGTTTCGAACGACTTCAATTTCGCTAATGAATTTCGATTCTGATGAATTCTAGAATGATGCACCAAAAAAGCAAAAACAACCGTCCCGACAATACTTTTTTTATGGATAAGCAAAGAAAATATTTTTTTTACAGTATATTATTCTAGATTGAAGTCCATAATCGCGCAACTGCTCATTTCAAAAAGTTTCAGATGACAAAACAACAAAACGTTCCGAAGAGAATTCACATGCACTTTCAGCAAACGAATTTCTCAATTTAATTTGTTGTCCAACACATTCAGAGAGAGATTCTCTTGAAAATATCTGTTCTTGGTCACCTAATATGGAAAACTCTCGTTGACCAGATAAAAGATCCAAGAAGAGGTCACTGCAGAATGCCCCATCATTACTCTCTTTCGATCACACAGAAGGAGCAAATTGAGTTCCTTTTTATAAGGAACCCGGTCCAGAAAATCTGTAGTTTTTGATCGGCCTCGGAGAATCCATGAGAAAACTTTAAACGGCGACAAATTAAACACGTACAGTATTTGTACACCACCTGAAAAACTTGTCATCGTTTTCCTTTCGAAGAAATGTACTGATGCACTCGAGGATGAGCCCGTATTCAATATCCGAGAAGGATTTTTTAAAATCCTCCGACCGTCGAGCTCCAAAACGTAGGATCCCTTTTCGCCCACTCATCCCGAAGATACCCGATAAGAAGTGCACCCCTTCAAAATACAGTCAAACCCCGGTTTACGGACCAACCGGGTAACGGATTTTCAGTTTACAGACCTCCTCCTGTCATAAAAGATCACTATCATGCACAGTGATCTTTTACAAGTTTACTATTTTTCTCATTGAAAAATGTTGCAAATTTAAACAGCTAAAATTCAAAAAGTAAAAACATTTTTTAATGATTTTTGTACAATTTTCAAAATTTCAAATTTTTTTGGGTTGTAATTCTGTCAAATTTTCAGATTTTGGCATTTAAAAAATATGAAATTTAGAAAACATCTTTGCGCATGCAAGGCTGCAAAATATTTGAAAATCAGTTCAGAATTCAATTTTGACAAATTTCCAAAGTTCACTAACTGGGAAATATTTTTGGAAATTTGAAACAAATTAAAAATTTCAACATTAAGGTCTAAGGGGATTGTGTTTCAGGTTACGGACTGAACGGTTTACGGACCAGTCTGTGGAACAAATCAAGTCCGTAAACCTGGGTTTGACTGTAGGTACCCACAAGCACACAAAGAAAGAAAGATTAAAAATCGTGAATTGAAACTATGGAACTCCAATGGATTTCACACTTGGCAAAGCATAACCTGACGAGAAAATTCCCTACGAAACTTGTTTACAAGACAATTTCCTGGAAATTTTATGAGAGGATGAATAAGCACGTAGAGAACTAGCTTTCTGTTGGTTCAGCTTTTTGGCTTGCTGGTGCACAGCCAAATTTGCGGCCTGCTTCATCAAGGGTTCGGCGAGCCATACAGCACTGTTTGACGGCAAAGGGCCCCAAACCTGATGGAAAGTGCGACGACTCGTTTCCAGCGATTCGATCTGACTCATGAGATGCCGCAGAGTTTCAATATTTTGCAGTTTCAGTTCACAAACCTACGACATGACAAACGGAGTACAATAAAGAGACGTCCTATTTCCTGGTTCAGTTTCAACAAAATGTTCGTAAAACAAGCTACAGTATTCGAGCATTTAAATCCATTTCAACACAGTTATTCATTCTTGGCAATTTTTCCGCGATTTGATGAACATTTCTAGGCTCTTTTGATCAAAGGAATGCAGCATTCCAGGCGAGCTATTTCGATATAAAATTGTAATAACGTAATAACATGGGAATTGTCATTCGAAAAGTTACAATAACTGATTGTGAAGAGGAATCACTGAAGACGGACACGCTAAAATAAACTTCTTGGCACACTTGCAGAAAATTACTCCTGAATTCCTGCATTGTTTAACGAGCAACGACTCATGCATACTTCAGTTGAGAAATCCTTCACAATGAATCGACTATTAAGCTTGTTTTTCTGCTAAACAAAAAACTACGCGTACAAGGAATGCGAATGCACCTCAAGTGGAAATCAGACAGCTGCAAAAATCCTGGGGGAACGTTGCATAATCACAACTATCCACAAATGTTTCGCAGAACTAGTTGACTGATCTTTCCGCACCAAAACTCGCATTTCTTTTTCTTTTTTCCGAAATACCAAACTAAAACTGGGACAATATTTCTGCATGGGAACCTCGAGTTCTTTGCGTGCTTCTGGAATGGTGAAGTGTGCCATTTCCTGCACCCTGAGAGACTTCTCCAGACGTTCCTTGGCAAGCACGACGAATTCATTGCGCAAAACTCGGAGGAACGCGGCGTCTTCTTGCAGAAGTCCGTCTTCCGCCTCGAGATCCATCAGTCTGCACTCGAAGTTCTTGAACCGCTGCGATGCCAAATGCAAAGAGTCGGCTGCCTGCTGAGACTGAAGTCTGTACTCGCGGATTTCCGCTTGCAGTTTCATCACCAACTGTTTCAACATCGAACAACGATTTTCTACACATTTGGGATCCCTCGTTTCCAAGAAGAAAAACACCCCGTCTCCCAACTTAAAATTTTGGAATTCGTAGGGTGCCTTACAATTGATTGATTCGACCTCGAGAGCTAGTTTCAGGAGTGGTCCAAGAACAAGCTCCATTCCAAATGATTAACAATGTACCTCGTCAGGTCATCGAATATCAAACATGATCTGCATTAAAATGTACCTAAAAAGCGAGGGATTCAAAGGGCAATGGCAGGGAACCATCTTGAAAATTTTTTTCAAACAACGTTTCTGTGAAGTGGCATATAAATAAGTTCCGTTTCGCATGATTATTATTTCGTCAGCTGATCTAATAGCTTCATTTACGGAAGGACAAATTTCAAGAATGATCTGAATTGGCAGCGAAGCATATTCTAACATTTTTTCAAAGATTCTTTGTAAAGTGGTAGTAAAATAAAATCAGTTTCGAATGATTAATATCTCGTCACCTCAGCACACAGCTTCATACAATGAGGGATACATTTTAAGAATGATCTGCAATAAATTCAGGGAAAATACAGCTCGAAAATTGATAATTATGAACGGACAATTTGAAAAAAATCTGGAAACGCTCCTCCAGAGTCCCATCTGAAGAGACAATGTACAGTATACACGATTTTGCTAGCAATTTTTGGCATTAAAGTCTTGACGTACTTCACATTGAAACCATCGCTGGGAGAGGAAATTTCCAGGGTTATTCAACTATTGGAAAATTTGCAATATTAAGGGGTGATAGTTATCTTCGACGTGACACTCAGCGAAACAACAACCTAGAATTCAAGGAATTACAGAATACGCGGAAAACATTGATGCATATTTTTCACCGTGTATTGTCACTGCCATTCAGTTCTCAATTTTACTCGCAATTCACCATGTTTATAGCAAAGTTTTCCTTCCAAAGCCATGGTATCCTGGATCACGCAAACCGCTAAAACTTCAAATTACTGCATGTGAAATTTGAATAGGTTCCTTCAAGTTAATATTCAATCAAAGCCATATTCTGATGCTTTAGTCATCTTTGGTTGGATTCCTTCAGATTAAAATTCCAGGAACTTGGCACGGAAACTAGCACAAATCAAGGTGCACTTCAGAACTCAATCAGTCTTAAATTCGCTGGACATGTGCTAATAACCTTTCTGAAATCTCGTTTCACGTTCAGACGTTCGGCTTGGGAAGTGGCACCGAGTGAAATAACGTTGTCGCCATTTATGTCGAGCGAGATTTGCGCAGTCGGGGTCGCGTTCCCGGGGATGATTCCACCGGGTTTACGAGGGATACCAAGCGAAGAAGCGATCCTGAACATTGTTTCATTCAAAACCTTGAGCTTCCTCATCCAGAGAACGTACTGCAAGAAGGCGGCTAGGGCGAACCCGAATGAGAATTTGCCAGCGAAATTCATCGCCCTTCCTGCCATGCTCGGCATAATTTGATTTTACTCGCATGTCTGGGTAAAAACGTCAGATCGCCCAAAGCAAAATACATAAAATCTCTTAGTATTCCCGCTAAAAGATCGCAGCAAATGACAATGAAGGCTATAAGTCTGCATCCGCACAACACTGGCGTGACTGAGACGAGCTTCGAAAAAGGGAATGCCAGAATCAAATGTAAGGTTTTCCATAACATTTAAAGCACTCAACCCAAAAGATATTCTTGATTTTTCAACCTTCATTCGCACTGTTACATCATGCCCTTGATGTTCCAAGCACTGGGTAGAAAAATCTGCTCACGCAACCTTCACATAATTTGGATATAAAATGAAGGCCTGTTCATTCCCAGAATGGAGCATTCCACCACTATAAGTCTGTCAGTAATGAGTATCCCACCAGCGCTTGGCTGAATGAAATGAAGTTAAGGTTCAAGTGCTGTAGGTTATTTTGTATATTTTCAGAAATTTACGCTTCATCTGGCCGAAAATCTGAGATCTTCCTGGACAATGACCAAGACACGTCACGAGATTTCTCCCGGCAAAAGTTCATTCTCCACTTTAAAAATCTCACACCACAGAAAAATCGAATGAACCATTTTTGCGGTTGAAAACTGCCATGAACTCAAAACCAAAATGATTAACTTTGCAGGAGAAAAAAAATCTTCAACGCAAGTGTCACGTTCCGCAGACTTCAACGAAAGATGAAAATCACTTTCAAAATCATGAATTCAGCGTCGAAAACAATCTTCGTTTCAGAGCTTTTAGCAGCAAGAAATGTTCCTTCACAAAACAAGTTCTGTTGCTGATGAACGGTTTTGAGCATAGTGCTTAAACATTGCATTCATTAAAACATCACTCGAAGAGTAGCTGAGGCCTGCAGGGGTACATCTGCTTCCTACCTTCATTGAGTAGATTCAGAATTCTAATGCAGCACATGACGGTTTCAAACACCGAAAATATGAACGTCGGAGCTTTGAAGATATGTAAGAATCCAGGTAGTTATTTCGCGTCCGCTAGTTATGATCCCACCGCAGCTGGTGAGGTTTCGGGTGAGTTCATGAAAATGCACTCGAAAATGCATTATTCTGAAGGTGTGAAAAAATGCATTGAATCTGCTCACTTTCTCTGTAGCAAAAGCGAAACAACACCAGCAACATGAACGGGAGGGTTACGGAGATAATCTAGGCTCTAAGGTCCTTTTCTGACAAAATTACAGAAGCGAATGATACATGACAATATTCCCAATTTATTTAAATACAAGAACCCCGGAAATATATTCAATATACGTACAGTATATTGAATTATCATTAAAAATCGACTAAATTAAATATCGTACTGTGTATTAATTATCATTAAAATCTTTCGCGGTATTTCGAAGTTCTACTTTTAATCCCGACTGAAATGCGTGCAAATTGAAGACATCGAATTGATGTCACAAGGCATTGGGTCACAAGGCATTTCCCCGATGAAAGTAACGAGACGCCAAGAAGAAACAGATTGCTTCACCCACCTGATGTTTCTTAGGCAGCTTGCTTGCTCCAAAATCGGTTGATCGTGACATGATTTCACCGGAAGGGTCTTTCGTACCTCCAAAAAACCGACGCTCTGGAGCAGTGTGGCATTCCCACTTTGAAACATCACTTGAGACCGAATAAAAAGAATAACGAATAAAAGAATTTCGAAGTCCTGCGAATAAAGCGGGCAAAATCTGGATTCACATCAGACTTGATTTTTCCGCCGCAAACTCCTGAATTGACGCACAACAAAATTGGGTCATCACGTACGATCTTCCAGCACATTCAAACCTTACACGAAAATCAATCAACGGTTGTACGTGAGAAGTCATCGGCCTTTTTATGAGCTTTTCCAAAACATCACGAACATAGATGCTTAAAGAATTCAAGCTTCATCGGCCAAACGATGACGAGGCTGTACGCTAATGTGATGCTCGTCACTCTCATCGTGATCCGCATCGAGATCAGGTACCACTCCTGGTTTCTTTTCCGAGACATCAGCAAGGGAGAATGGAAAATCAATGGCATCCTGGGCTAAGTTCAATGCTTCTTTGAACGCACATGATTCGTACTCAGGATGGGAGGCGAAAATCAAGAATAGGTCCTTGAGCTTGTCAGGTTCCAAATCTCCAAATCGGGTAAAAATTCCATGACCCTGCTCAATGAGCTTCACGCCACAGCCTGGGATCCACTGCCTGATGAAAAGTGGTTACAAGTTGAGCGCATCAAGAACTATGAAATGTTAAAAACGGATCATAATTTTCTGCAAAAGAAAATATAATTCGCTAAGATCAAAGTCAATATTATCAACAACGTTTTCAGAAGAATGTAGTTTCTAGAGATATCTTCACGAAAAGGAGAGAGGAGTCCATTCAATTTTGCAATTTACCTTCTTTGTACAGTACAATACGGTAAAACCCACAGCAAATTTTTGAGAGGGATACAATAGTAAATCAACGTGAATAAGTCGTTCATGCTGAACAAAATATTTGCTGTCATATAAGTAGATTCAGAGGAAGAAAGCAGTTGTTGTAGTAAATAGGCAACATGAAGAAAATTAAATTGAATTTCTCATATAACTTGCCACTCACTCAAGTGCAGGGATCACTGTTCGTGATCTTGAAGTCAAATGATGAAATATGAAGAATGCCAGTTCACGCATTTGAGTTTCAGGTACACCTGGAATATCTCGTTTCGCCTCTATGCTTACAATGTACATGTGATCCTCGTTGAAGTTAGAACGTCGCTGCAAGCAGAAATTTTCGTTAATACCCTCCAGCATGTCTGGATTTAAGGCTAGTGAAGTATTCACCTTTCTTGCAACATTCTTTGCAAGTGGCCACGGGAAAAACGCACTTCTCGGCACAGTATCCAGAAGTTTCACATCGAAGAGCAGCTGCAGAAGTATATTCGAGGATTTGTACAGAATGAAACCTGAAGTTGGTCGCGCTGTGACGTGCTGGAAATATAATACTCGCTGTAAATAGAGCATTGGCGGAAAACAAAGCATCTTCACAATACCTCATAAATAGAAGAAGGAACGATGAATACAGATCGAACTCTGCCAAACTGGAACAATGTGCGACGAGATAAACACGAACTCGTCATGTACCTTAAGAAGGCCATATCTTTGCGACTGCAGAGTGTACCCACAATCTTCAGCGCAGGATCTGAAGTTGTTTCAAATGAATAAATTGTACTCTGTTCGCCCCGTTAAATTTGTCGAAAAAGTGCACCTCCTCTCCATCCATTTTCCGCGGGTTGTAGTCCATCCAACAGCCGGGCAACGCGGTGCTCCGTGGGGTCTTGAAAATCTGCATAATCCCTCTTCGACAGTAATAACAGGTCATCCATGATTGAGTCAATCGCTGCATCCGGGAAATCTCTCTTGATCGACTGTAGAATGAAAATTTCGTGACAAAATCGGGATATTTTCCGGACTTTTTTTTCTCGTCATTATAAGATAGGATGACTGCTAGACGGATTCGCCGGCAAGGAAAACTTGTAACTTCGTCCGTCCAGTTGAAACTTGAAATTCTTCATTATCCACGCGAACTATACCACCACTTCGGTAAAAAAAATGTTAAATTAAAAAAGTTATCCAAGATAGATTTAGTTCGACAAGAATCGAACGTCAGGCGTTTCCGTTCGTAGTAAAATGAGTTTTGATTAGTTATTCCTGTCCGCACTTGTTCCATTTGGTGGAACATTAGAATAGCGCAGTGCCGTACGACACGTTAGCTGTGTCACATTGGTAGTTCATGAGAATATACTTTCACAGCGTAAGAGTCGTACACTCATGCTTTTTCCGGAAGGCCACAATCGTCCAATGCATTTCCTCAACGCCATACAACTCATAATTCACAGCCGAAAATTCTATCTCGCGCGCCAAACTTAAAATATAGAAACAAACTTTGTTGGTTTGATAACACATTTTCAGTTAGATGCTCTTGACTACGAAACGTGCCACTCATTCAAGAAGTTTCCGGAGAGGCCTCTTTTAAAAATACTCGAACACATCAGACGAATAACAAGTTGCAGGAATTGAAGGAATACTTGCGCTGACTGAAGCCCCAAACAACGCCGAATCTTGAAACAAACGAATGGCAGGGATTCCTTGTCTCAGCATTGCACGTGTGATCAACCCTGGACCTGGTCGAACTTCCAACACAGGATTAGCAGTTCCATCGTTCAGAACAAGGTTCGCAACTCGATCAGCTACGGTCTGTTCGACACAGTAGAGACTGGACGGCGTGGAGATGCGGCGGCGCAAGCTTGAGTACTGATCCAAGATGTTACGTTCGTTCTCAGGCAATGTTTGGCAGAATACATCCACATCGGCATGCGAAGCTCTTCTCCTTGCTTCATTCACTGACGTCCAAGAGAAGTTCCGTCTGTAATACCGGAGTAGTTCACCACGCAAAAACGACCGCATCGCGGTTATGACAGATTCGTTTCAAAATTTGGAGTTGGAGAAGATTGCGCATTGAATATCACCCTGCAGTCATGCGTGCAGACATGTCTCACCGCTTTCACCCCCTCTAGCCAAAGAGTGCCTACAGAAAACTGCATGTATTCTTCACCGTCATTTCGAATTCCTGCAAGGGCTCCATGATGAAATCCCATAGGAGAAAAAATCGAAAAATCCCGCGGTCCAAAAATCCCATAGGCCCAAAAATCTCACAGGGTCCAAGAATCCTGTAGGTACAAAAATCTGGAAGAGTACTACCAAATTGTAACATTGTCTCTGGGTTTCCCTTCCAACTGTCTGGAAGGAATACAAATTGGGTGGGTAAATGAAATTGTGCAAGTGCAAGGGTTTTAATTTCTTCCAAGGGTTTGGGAGGTTTAGGGATTACCTTTCTCAATAGAACTTCACCTTCACTGCCTCATCTTTCTCAAGAGAAAGGAGAGGAAGCCTGGGAAACATGTTGCCTTAATCCCTGAATTGTTTTGTACAGTACAGTATATATAAACTGTGTACTTTTCCATTAATTTTCACAGCACATAACTAACTTAATGCCTTCTGAAGTAATAAACTTGCATCAATTCAGGTGAAAATCTTGTAGAGTTGAGAACTTGTGGATTATTTCAAAATGTGTTTTTTATATTCCCTACATTATCTACTTGTATATTGGATAATAAGATTGAAAATGAAATACAGTATCACTATATAACTGCCTTTATAGACTTCTTTGAAAATTTAGAATGGTTTACACACATCTGCCTTCTATGGATTTCAAACAAGGTTTTTCTGATATAAAGATTCATTTCTAGGGATCTTTGTACCTAGGGGATTTTCAGGCCACAGGATGTTTTCTCCCATGGGATTTTCTCCTGCACCACCCATTCTGTATAGAGTAGACTGTAGACAAGTCAACCACTCCAGCGAGAAAGGGGCACACCCTACTAATGTGTACAGTACAGTAAACTCTTTCTATAGAGCAAAGCCATTGGGACAAGTAAGATAGTTGTCATGGAATAGTTCCTCTCACTCCATATCTCGTTAGCAGACGACTGATAACTTTGTTCTAAAAAAATATGTTACAGAAGAATTGTTCGGAATAGTGCACAGGGACCTAAAAAACAACTTGGTGGTGATTTAATATTTGTAAGATTGTGTTGGATAACTCCACCCCTCCAATTGGGATCACTAGCTTTTTTGGAGGTCAAATAACTGATGCAGATTTTGACTTCACTTTCTAAAATCACCTCTCTATCCTATTTAGGCTAGGTATTAGGTTGGGTTATGTCATAGTTAAAATATATTTTCAACTACCATAGCCTGATCTAACTGCCCCTGAAGCCTGTTCTTGCAGAGTCCCAAAGAATGGACAACTGCACTAGTGCTGACACCAGGGGAAAGCCTCAACAGAAAAGACAACTGCCAAAGTTCTCACACTACATTACTGTACATTCCTTCCCAAACATGACTGTGAATCAAAAATTGCTTGGTACATTGATACAGTACACAGGTCTATTTGCCAGAATTCCAGAGTCTGTCCCCCAGATTGTTTGTTGCAAAAGTTCTGTATGCATCAAGGCCCCATTGCAAAATGGTCACACCGTTCTGTTTTCTTGAAGTATTTCTGCAGGTGACAGTAGATACCAATACCAATTGACTACCTTGCTCCAAGTGCCAGTCAGAGATGTCTATATGCCCCTGAAAAATACTTTTCAATACTGTATTAGTAAAATAAGGACACCAATTTCTCTTGTCTCAAGGGCATAAACCACTTTATCAGATCTTCTATGTACAGCTTCAACGTCTTGTCGTCTAGTTTTTGCCAGCGTTCAAACTTTTCTGCACATCAAATTTGCTCCTGAATTTCTCATTTGCCCTCAGAAGGACACATGCTTCAAAATGCTCATCACAATCGATTATGCAATGTGGAGTAAGCCATTGCGGTTCGAGACAGAAGATCTTTTCAACACCAGCAGACGCTGGCAGTGCAGTGTTCAGCGAAATGAACAACTTTTTGATGGTTGGATAATTGTTTAGGTGATCAGTGGAACGATCTCCATCACTCAGGAAACCACAGATTTCTGCTTCAACCAATCGTGACCAAGGATCAGAGTCCGTTTGCTGCACAGGAGCTTGATCCCGAAAACGCTTCGACCACAGCCTTGATCTGCAAGGAGCAATGCCAGTGGTATCTTCATTTTGACGAGGTCCATTAGGCGCAGATGGTTCAAGGTGTGGTGAGAGGCATTTCTTGATGAACTGCTCCAAAATCATCTTTGATTTCTCTTGCTTGGCGCCCCTTTGAAAAGGATTCATCCAATCGTCTTTGAAGTGAGGGTGGCAGAGTGCTGCAGCAATGCACTCCTCATTTTCATAGAACTTCTGTAGATCAAACAAACATTATAAAAGTAACTTGATACCTCAAGATCAAACGGTAATGCTAAGCCAGACATAAGTAACCAACATTTGCGGAGTGAAGCGTAAAATCATTTTCAAAAAGTGGATTGTGCAAATCAGAATGAGTACATAGAATAGTCAATTTAGGGCTAATGAAATGATGAAAGTTACTTCATTATTTAGGTTTCTTGAATGAAAAACACAAGTTTTCCTGAACTGCTTCTGATCGTCCAGTGAAACACGTATCCTTCAAGACGCAGGGCGTACTTTCCAAAGAATTGAATTGATCCTGGACACACAAAATAAAAGACAAACAGAAGTAAAAAATTGAAGAAAATTCAAGAATGAAATTATGAAACCCAAACCATTACATAATGCTCTTTCAAGAAATTACTGAGTTTTAAAATATAATAATTGTGCAATTTTTGAACTGTCACGTGAATGAGGAGTATGGTTTCTGAACAGAAGAGAACAGTGCAGGAAATATGAAAGGAACCATATACAGTACAACAGTTCGGGGATTTTTCAATTTTTAATCCTAAAAATAGTCTGCCTTGATGTTTTCTAGACAAGAATTTGGGAATATACGGGCATTTTTCCTTTGTAAATCACAAAGCATTTCTGAGATTTATGTTTGACCCATGGATTGTTGGTTGTAGAAATTTTTAGCACAACACGGCATCGCTGCAAAGCAATACAGTACAAGTACAGAATTTCAATTCATATTTATTTCGAACACCCATACAGTACTGTAGTAAAGTTTTACAAAGCTAAAATTCATAAGAATGGGCTTCAGGTAACTCTTGACACTCAAGGTACAGTATATCAGTTTCATTCCAAGTTTTCTGGCCATATATTTTGTTGTTGTTCACATTGGACGAGAGAAATTTGAGCCATCTTCTTTATTTTTCTTGGCAGTAGAAAAATACTTACATTAAAATTATGTCTCAGACTTGTCAGCAATTTTACTGCAACTGCATCGCACAGCATCAGCCCGCCAGACTTCATTTGGATTTCACTAATGGCGAACTCCATCATTTTCAGAGTGGGAAGAAGAGAGCCAAGGCCAATAGCATTATTTATTTCGCCACCATGAAATTCTCCTTGAAGCTCAGTAAGGCTGATGGCCAATGGGTCCATGACAGCAGAGAATTCCTATAAGCAAAAACAAGGAATGAAAAATTAGAAAGATGCAGTTGAAGGTGGAAAATAAGGTTATTTACCGTATTTACTCAAATACAACGACGCGCACATTTTTTGAAATCAAAATTTAGAATAAAAAAGGGTGCACCTCACTGGCGCCTAAATTTTGAAAAGGTTTCAGGAGTTCAGGTGCGCATTATAATTTATTTTAATGGAACTTTAGGACCAATTTCAACAGAAAAACGTATTTTACTAAAAATAATGGAAATTTAATTAAATTCAGGATTAATTCACTTCTAAATTCAAAGTGGGCTGTTCTTACTATTGAAATATTTCAAAAAATGGGGTGCGCATCTTCCTTGGGGATACCAATAAAAAACATTTTGACTGAAAACCCCTGTTGCACGTCTTACTCGAGGACGCGAGTAAATACGATATAATAACCAAGAAGCAGAAATGAAAGCTAACACACGTTCACCGCTCCGAATGCTTTTAGATTAAACTACAGCCTTTAGTTGATTATACATGAAGCTGGCAAGACTAAGCTCTGATAATATACAATGTAAAACCTCAAGAATTTTTAAATGCCTCTTTCACCCAACCTCATATCCAAAAATGAGAACATTTTCTTCATTTTTGTACCTTTAAAAATTGACTCTGCAGATCAGTCAGGCTGGGGAGATTGTTCAGATTCAGCATCTCAATAAATGCAGATGGTTGTTTGTCCATGAGTGCTACCACACAGGAACAAGCATCACAAATAGCATTCCACCTGCAATGAACAGTATATACAGTATAAGCAATGCAGTATTGGTCACAGTAAATTTTAAATGAATTCACAATTTCAAAACGTTTAAAATTGCAAGAAATGAAGGACACATCAACATAAAAATACCTCGTTTCATAGGGGATGACAGAAAGTCTCCCAAATGCATTCTTGATATCTTCAGACGCCTTCAGAGAACGAGCCTTCTTTGCCCAGATTTTTGTAAGGATTGTGAATACCTGATGTGCTATCAACCCCAACACAGGGTGGTTCATGATGAAGTCATCAACATCACAAGCCACCAGGTTCAGCGTGTAGGAAGCACACCTGATGTATTCTGGCAACGTCATAAGGAGCTGGGAAGTTTCATCATCAATACTCTGGAGAAGAAAAATTCAAGGAGACGTAAAAGTACTGTACTGTGAATCCTCCAAAGAAAAGGAACAATTGTTTTCAAATTCCTTCTTTTTTAATCCGATTTCACACTCTTTAATGTATGCAGTTCTTACCCTTAAATCTGAATTCAAATAAAGCTTATCACTTCCCAGGCAGAACTAGCCTTAGCTGTATCATAGTAATACATAAATTCAAATGCTTGAGATTACACAATAATAATATACAGAATGTAGCAATTAATCAAAAGAGGAATCTGGGCGAATCATGAGGGAGAATATATTGACCTCATGAATATTCTTTGAAATGAAGCAGACAAGAACAAAACAGCTGCATTCCCACATTCTACTGCACCACAGAACTAAGAAATCTTTCATTCCTCTGAGGCAGACCACGCAATTTGTATCGTCGTTTAACCAAATTATTACAAAATTAAAGATGCCTCACAGCACTTCTACCATACCGTACATAATTCTAAAAACATAAGTTATAAACATATTCACCTCAAAAGCGGGAGCATTCATAATTGTTTCCAACTTATGAACTTGAAATAGTTGAACACCCTCTGCTTCATCACAGTCAGACATAGAGGAATCTGGCAGTTCATCCATCTTTTCAGCTTGGAACACTTCAACATCAAGACCATCGAGATTATTGATGGTTTCCTCCTTAGGCTCAGCCTTACTAAAATCTCCACCACACCATTTTCCATTCTCATATTCCATAAAATCTCCCCTTTGGGCAGGGGTTGGTCTCCAAGGATTTGTTGATGAGGTTCCCAACCCAGCATGCGAAGAAGTAACAGATTGGGAAAGGTTTCCATCATGACCCGAGAAAGTGTCACAGTCATCTGACTTCGCGGGCTCACAAATTTTGAAATTTCTGATGAAATGTGAGCCATTGTCTACAACACACTTCGTGACTTTCGTCTGGATGCTGTATTCCGTCAGCACTTCGTGGAAAACTTTCGCTATCACATCGATGGTATATCTTCGATGAACTGGTTGAACTGCAAGAACAGCTGCATGACGCAGAAGGTTCTGATCAAACCAATGAGCAGTTATGCAAATATAGGTTCTTCCAAACGTTGTCCATAGATCTGCTGTCATAGATATGTGCTGGACACTTGCCAGTTCTTGTTGCAGGTTCTTCTTTTCATTGGAGAACTTTTCCATGAGCATATCAATGAGGCACTCTCTGTTGGGCATTTTTGTTGCAGCCATGGGATTCAGACCTTGGACAAGGTTAAGCATTGCTTGAGTTTGCTGACTTGACAGAGGGACCACTGCTCCAATGATGTAATTCTGCAAGATGAACAAAACATTCGTGGATTGAAATATTACACGTAAAATATGAAGGAATAAATATGGACATTCTACCATTCATTCTCTGCTTACAATTTTGTGATTATTATAGTCCTGTCTTCCCAAGAAAAACTACGCTTTCTGAATAACCCCTACATTTGATGGGATAACTGGCATTGAAAATGTTCTTGCGATTTTGTCTTCTGCCTCTTGACAGCTCACTTTCTCATGGAGAAATTAACTACAACGAAAATAAAGGCGTATTACTGCGATTACTCTTATACCACGCGCACCTTTTTTTCAAAATTAAGAGGAAAAGAGGGGGGTGCGCGTCATCGGCGCGTATAAAATTTTGAAAAAGTTTTCAAGGTTTAGACGCACATTATAATTTACTTCTAAAGGGAATTTAGGACCAACCAATTTTAACAGAAAATCTTATTGCATTGGAAATAATTGAAGATACTGTATATTGAATTCAGGATAAATTCATGTATATTTTCAAATTTGGGTGCTTCTATTTTAAAATATTGCAGTTTAAAAGATAGAAAATATAGGGTGCGCGTCGTACTCGGGGATATACGGTAGTTTAATTTTTTTAAATACGGAAAACCCCTGGTGCGCGTCCTAAAAATCACCTTCCTCGCTTCTTGACCCTTTAATAGTCTAAATGAGCTAATTAAGCCAAGAAGATAGTTACGTGGAAGTACATTACTTACCAGGGTAGCGTCACTAAACTTCTTCTGCTGGGAAACGGGATTTGGATTGATGATCCTTCCGGTATTCAAATAGTCCTTCATCGCAGCTCCCTCTGACGAAGTCCCATGCTGGGATTGTGGACGGCCTTTGAGTTTGTTCAGCTTTACCTTGTACTCGTTGTACATGGATGGATGAATTCTCTAAAAGACGGAATTTGAAAGCATTCGGTAAGTTCATTCCCTTGTGAAAAATGCCAAAACGCAAGGGTTGCCATCACCTCATAATCTGAATAAGATTGAGAAAATTTTACATCTCTTACATTACGTCAGAGGAATGGAAAAATTATTTTTTCCAACAAAATATTTATAAATTCGAACAGGGGACCAACAAAATCATCAACGTAAAAGAAGAGAACAAGAATCGCGATTACATTGTCATGGCGAACTTTTTAGATCAAGCACAAAGGGGTATACAGTATGTGTGCATAATCTAGTTGTCTTAATTTTAACCTAGCAGTAAAAATAGGGTAACAAAATAAAGATTGAATCAGCCAAAGTGGAGACTTTATATCATTTACATGATTATTTTAAAGGTACAGCGAAATTTGCAAGTTTTGAAAATATTACAACCTGAATCTTGGGTGAAGGCATGTGCACTGTGTGTTATATCAAATATAATATCAAACCTGTTCATGTTTGATATTATGGAAGGCTCAATGAAAGTAATTTGTTAGTGAATGCAGCAGCAGATGGATTTCAATGATACTGTACTTTCATTTGCTTTTGACTAGAAGAATCAATTTTCAAGAGAAAAAATTGTTTGAAAAGATCTTTTCAATTTCTTTGGTGCCAGCACTTCATTTAGACACACTCAGGCGACGTGATTTTTTGCTTTTTCCAAACCACAACACTTCCACAGGTTTGTACAGAATAAATTAATTTTCTCAAATGTAGTACGGAAAAAATAATTTTTAAAATGGAGTGCGATTTCGAAGATGGCGATCATCAAAAAAAGCCAATCTTTAAAAAAGTATATTAAATAACATACCTCAATATGATTGGTCATTGCCCATCTTGAACTATTGTCACAGCGAAGAAGAGATGCATTTGCAGGGCATTTTAGGCATTGGAAAATAAAACGGTCCTTCTGTTCCCCCAGAGGAGTGGCAGAAGCTTCACCTCCTGACGATTGCTGGTTGGGTTCCTCAGATAACTCTTCATTCGCAGCAATTTTCGATTTCCTGTTCCAGGCAGGTTCTTTCGTCACCTTCACAAACTCAAAAAAGTCTGGCGGAAGACGGAAAGAAAATGGAAGGGCAACCTGCTCACCTCCAGCCACAGCACTAGCCATGTCTGAAAGTACCACGTAGGGAGAGGAAAAAATATTATTGAAATATTATTTCAAAGAATTACAAGTGGTTCAAGGTTTTCTGCTTCGTACAAAGAGAACATTCTGCAAACGAAATTTCTTCCAGAAATGCGTTAAGAAAATCTTGATCCCATCAGCTATTTAAAATAGCTCATTTTCTGGGGTAATACACTATTCGATTGAACTATGGACCCTATTTCCTTAAAAGAACCGCAGTTGATTCAAGTGATGGCCTAGTTAATTAAAAAAATATACTGCAGTGTGTACTGCAGATGAGCAGACAAGAATATTTCTGAAATGAATCAGTCAAAAATTAGTTGCTTCAGTGAAACGTCAAAACTAGCAAACATAAATCTATCTGCAGAAAAAAAAGAAATATGCAGAATAAAAACAGAAAATGAACTTAATACTCACGTTGTGAGTCGTAGCAGTCAAAATACACTCAGGAAAACACGAACCTTTCTTAGAATTCACCTGCAACTTCTGCAGACGTAAAAACAAAAACTGAAAAACAATGCAATATCGGACATACCTCTCGCACTTGAGAATCAAAGCAAGCTGGATGGGAGCGCAACAGACAACGTTCAACTTCTACTCTTTTGTTGATGGACCATGATCGGTAATAGCAACTTGTATCAGCAAAAATGCGGAACTTGAACACCTCAGGCCTCACAGATGAGAGAAGAACAAATCAAGAACCAACCCACTTGGACGATGACTTTATAGTACTGTACTTTATTTCATAACCGTAGGTGCATTCAAAATTACGCTACCACAACTAACCGCTTCAAAGTTCCACCAAGTTACAATACAGGTCGTCTCACGTCCGCTCAGGAAATTTTGACCGACCATAAATTCCCCATTATTTAATGTTGTAATTCTTCCATTCACTAATCCATAGAACTTAGATGGGAAACATAGAACTTAGATGGGAAACATAGAATTTAGACACAACAAAGGACAGACACCTAAACATGAGGACCATTGAATCACCGATGCCACACACGAACACACTTCATGTATCGGTTAATTCGAAACCGCCATGCATTCGAGAGTTGCACACACGAACATAAAATCAGAATCCACAGTTCAGAAAGGCGGCTGTTAAGAGCTCAGAAAACTATATTCGAAGCAAGAATCATCGGAAAACTTATAATCACAAAATTCCGAATGCACTTATTCTAAAATTTCAAGTTGATGATCACCAGAAACAAGGAAAATTCCGTTATTGTGAACTTGAGACCATGTGTGAGTGATAGCCTTTCAAGAGTCACTGCGGACAGAAAATGTATTGGCAAAGTAATCGAAATTCTATTTTACCAGAGTAATTGACTATTCTTTTCACGTATTTTGTTTTTGGAAACATGCTTCGATTGAATTGGTATGCAATAAATTAACGTTTAAGTTCAAGAGGGTTGAATGAATACTCGTAGAGGATGATTCCTTAGATGGGCTGAAAAAAAAGAACACCGGTCTTGATATGCTACTTGACAACCAATTCCTAGCATCCGGTCTTGATATGATACTTAACAACCAATTCCTAGCATTACAGATGCATTAAAACACTGTTCCCCAACCCGTGGTCTGCAGGCGCCGGTCCGCAGAAGTTTTTAGCCATCTCAAGGAAATTTTCAGGATGATGCATTTTTTAAAAGTAGCCATGAACTCTGATATCCTCATCTAAAACTTTGGAAAGACAATGGCAGTTGAAATCATTCGATGAAAAATTAAAGTTGGCTTCTCTCCTAATAACACTTCAAACACATTTTAACCAGCTAAAATCAATTTCAATTTTTCATTCTGAGAAACCTTCTTCAAGCCCACCTTTCCAAGTTTTTGATGACATTCAGTTATAGCTGCATTAGAGGTGCTTAACTTAATTTTGAAACGAGCAGAACATTTTATATGGCAGCAATAAACTCTATCTTAAAAAAAATGTTTTCAAGTCTGGGAAAATTTTATGAAACTTAGCCAGTCCGCAAAAAATTGTATGGAAATTTGCCGGTCCACAGACCCAAAAAGGTTGGGGAACACTGTATTAAACCATCTAGGACACGGATGCATCGAACCCCACCAGACAAGAAGAAGTTAAGAGATGGACACGAAATTCTAAAGAGAATCATGATAATGACGTAAGACAAAATTACGCTCATCCAAACGAGCAATTTCAAAAATATTTTCTCGTTAAGAGCGGAGGAAAAGTTTCAGGCTGAGAAAGTGATTAAAATAATGAATGAATCCCGTTTTCAATCACAATACTTTGAAAACTAACTTTCAAACTTACGGGTAGGAATATTCTGCTTCAAAAATCATCACAGAAAAGTTCATTGTACGAAATATCTTGTATTTCATGTTAAATGATCACAGGGACGGTACAGGACTGTCAATTTCGGATCACCTTCCCTTTCGAATGCGAATATTGTTGAAAACCTTCAGTCATTTCAACAGGATTGCCTTTCACGATCAGCTCCTCGATGACAGGAAGCTTGGAAAGGATTTCCAGTTCACTAAAATCGCGTACTTTGTTTTCTGTCAAGTTTAAGCTACGAAGATTGTGCAATTTCCGGAAGCCATCACAAACAGAAATTCGATTGCAATTCAAGTTCATCTTGCGGACTGAGAGAAGGATTGCGAAGGGTTTGGTATCGACAATATCATTGTTCGATAAATCCACTTCTTCAATAAACAGGAAATTCGGAAGCATGTGAAAAGAGGAGATACGGAACGAGCACAACTTGAGCGATGAAGACAATTGATTCGCTTTCAGTAAAAGCTTGGACCGCATATCCATGTAGTAGCCGACACGTTGTTTGTCGAGGCTTGGTAATGAATCCCAACGGTTCGAGAATTTCTTGATATCACATGAGGTGACTTCGCGCAGATACCCCGACATAAGATTAGCCCATTTGCTCTCTGGCTCCAATTCAACCAGCTGCTCACTCGATTTCAGGATCTTCTCCAGGATTTCACAAGGCACACCTAATTCTGGCTTAAGCAATAGCAATCCATTCCCATCAGAGAGGATCCGTTTGGCTCTCACTGTTTCTTCGAAAGTTTGGTGTAAAGAATCAATCGAATTGAAAGCTTCAGAATGGGTCTTCCATATTCTACACTGGCCAGATGAAAACGGCTCTGAGGAATCCACGTCAAGTTTCAGTTTCTCAACTAGATCTTGGAAAAAGGAACTCTTTTTCGAAACTGGGTGTTTAAAAAACAGTATCACGCTCGCTTCCCAGCAAGCAACGGCTTCAAGACAGTTTTCGTTTTGACATCCAGCTAATTCAAGAAGCCAGTGTAAATATAGCCAAGCAGTCTGATCATCTGGATCCGTGAATGCGGCGTTCTCAACAAGCTCCATTTCCCGAGATAGCACATCAATCGAAATTCCATGCGGACCAGGAAATACCACGGGCAGTAAACGAGACCGCTGATGCCAAGAGGAACCATTCGAAAAATTCTTATTGATCAATCGGTCAGTGAAGGCGATCTCGGCCTCCAGGGAAAGTTTTCCTGATTTCACGAGAAAGCGTCTGTAGTCCCAACAATGGAAATTACGTTCATCCAATTCCAAAGCTTTCTCAGTTAGACGCAATTCGTTTTTCCAGTCGAAGTTCGGGTTATTTTCCGCAATCCAATATCGGTGGTACCAAGCACTATAGGATTTGGGCTGACGCATGATGCAGTCTTCGGATAACTGAAAAAAAAAAACAAAAATGGACTTCCTCGAAAAAACCGTTCGAAATACTGCACACACCTTCGATTCCTTTCTCCATATATCCGAAACGTCGTCGGGATTTAAAGGTAACAGGTGAAGAACAGCTTTCCGTCTCATATTCCAAATAGTAACGTGATCAGGATTTTCCATCAGAAGCTCACTGGTGAGCTGCATAAACGAGTCTTCATATTGGCCGATTGGAAACCGAAGGCTGACTTCACTTCCGACGATCTTGAGTCTCTCCACTTTAGCAGCTTTAGCGCGCTTACGTTCTGCGTCTTTTTCGGCAGTCGTCTTCACTTTAACGCGGCCGTGCATAGTGAGGAAATATTGGACGAAACGCCTAGAAATTTGATATGCAAACGCGTTCACATAATCCTCTCCGTGTCTTCTCAGTCGCTTTTCAACACGTACCACATCCGTAATAACTCGTGGAACTCGGCTCTCGGGCTAAATGAAACAAGTAGTTTACATACGTTGCGGTCCATGACAGGAGTTTCTGAAGACAGAAAATACCACAGAGCTTGATTAATGAGACAACAAACAATACGGCAAATTATTTTCTTGGCAATTTTGTCACACACATCCACTTTCGGCCAACAATTCTTTCGAAAATTTCGATGATAAAATTTTAAGCACCTGGGAATTACGATGAATTTTGCATGCCCAACTTAATGAGAGCTGTAAAGTTCGTGTTCAACGGTGCTGATGTGGGTTCCATCGAATGCCCAGTTGTGTGGAAACCTGTGACAGACTGCCCGTGCCCTCAGTGATGTTTGGGTTGCTGCGAACTTGGATTTGTGTACGTCGATCGGAAGCTTCGCGTTGTGATGCGTCATTTCTTGTTGTAATTTAAGTATTCTCTTCCAAATTTTTTGTTAGATTCGTGAAAATATATGAGAGACGAAATGGTGTGGCAAAGTGCCGCTAAAGTCGCAAATCTTCAAGATTTTCCGAGCTAATAGTCCAGATTTTGAATATGGGGGGCAAAGAATCCAAAAGTTGCCCCGTTTCGTATGAGGAGGCCTTGAATCGAGGTAAGTCTCATCCAGAACCTCTTGCTGGATTTTCCCTTGACGTTCTTTGTATGGATCGAAACATGAAGTGTGTTCCTTGAAATTTGCAGCCTCTGAAGCGGAGGTTCGAAGACTTCGGGATGCGTTTCGGCGATGCGTCTCTGGAAATGGAAACCTGAACTTGAGTTCTTTTCAAGCTGATGTCCTGGGTGGATCCGTACCTCGTCCTCTTGCTGAGGTGATCGCGTGATTATCTTATCGAAATAATGCTGTAAATTGAATCTAGTCTCTATCATTTTTTTCAAAGCAGCAAGTGTTCTTGAACATATGTGGCGGGAAAGGCATGTCATTTAAAGATTTGCTGTGTCTGTTGGTCGTCATCACGAGTGGAAACCGGATGGAAAGAGCGCAGCGTGAGTTGAATCGGTTTGTATGTGGAGTGATCACGGTGTAAATACGATTTTTATTCATTTCAGTCCTGTTCAATCTGTACTCCAATGAGAATGGAGTAGTGCCTTACGAGACCCTGTATCGGCATGCCTTGGATGAAGACCGAGAATATCTTTCTCGAATGCGGAATGTACGCTGATTTTGTAGATGGCGTCAAATACCGTTACTGACGACTGTTATTTCGCAGGCGTCACCGCTTTCGTTTCCAGAGTTTTATAGACTTCTGCTTGCGAGGCCTGATGTCACCGTCATGACTAGATGGCTGCTTAGTTCAGCACAACTTACTCTTTCCGATGATCACGAAACTCCAACTTTTTACCAAACGCTTGCTGGAGTTACGCATTGTAAGTTTAGTCTCTTATTCTAGTTCACCTTGAATCAATTGTGAGATGGAGATTTTTCGGGCGTTCTAGTGGAGGAGAGGGAAATTATGAACCTGGAAAAAAAGTACTGGTCCTTCAACGGAAGACTAGATGAAGAAACATTCGGCCGCTTGATTTCTCCACCATTGCCTGACGACTTGAAATCGCTTTTATTCCGAGCTTTTGATGAGAATCGAGACGATCATATTGACTTCAAAGAGCTGGCATGCGGTGTTTCAGCTGCATGTGCTGGACCGATTGCTGAGCGCCATAAATGTACGATTCCAAGGGTTTGCATTTATCGATCCACTAATTAGGAAACGCATTTGCCCACAGTTTGCTTCAAAATGTTTGACATGAATGGAGACGGTGTCCTGGATTTGGAGGAATTGAGGTGCATGGCCCGTGGATTATTGCAAATTCGCGTTGAAGTCCGACGTGGTGACTTCGCCAGTTCGTTTACTCTTCAAGATTGTGTCATCAAAGACTGTAGGTCATGCCCACGGTCTAGTTTTTCGCGATTGCGTAATTTTCCTCAACTCTTTGCAGGTGATGTCGATGACATTGTTGAAGTCGTTTTGGAAAGTCGTCATGATAAAGAAACGTCGGTATCCTTGCAAGATTATCTCGTTTGGGCCATATCAACTCCTTTGACAGTCAATTTTCTCTCATTGCTGCGCGAGGTCAGTTCTGTTGAAAATGTTTAGCAATCTGTGTGTTAAATACTTGTGTTTGCCGAACACAAGTACAGTATCTGTTTGGGCCTATGACCCACCCCCACGTTCCTGATATGAGCCCAAACCCTCTTTCAAGGAGTGCGTTACGACTTACGAGGCACCCGGTAAATTGGTGCTTTTTTTATTATAAATTTTCGAAATTATTAATATCTGGGAGGAGCATTAATTTGCCTCGATGAAATAAATATAACGGTTCAAATTTTGATCAGAGAAGAAACAACTGCATGAATATACGAACTTGAGTCCGGGATAGAATGCTGCCGTGCTTGTGTAAGGCAGTTTTGCTTGGGAGGGGAAAAAATCATGAGATCGGGTGTAGGCCTCCAGGATTAAAACTTGGATTCATGTGGTTCTTACATGCATACCTTCTCTCCAGATATGTATTGTAGTACTCGGATTACCGCCATCCGATCGCCAAGAAGAAGGTAGAGTTGTTTCCCGATGGATTAGCCGTGAGGGCCGCCGAGGTCTTCGTGCGGGAACCTTCTGGTATCTTATCGACGCAAAATGGTTCAAAGACTGGTTGGAGTACGTGAACAGTGCTGTTGTGTCATCCGGAGGCAACCAAGGAAGTGACGCTCTAACAGCTCCTGCCACATCGGGTACCTCAGTGAGCTTGTCGTCCACGAACAGCAGCCCCGCTGGAAGTCTTTACGGAAGTCTCAAGCGTGGCACGGTTGGCAAAAGGTTAACTTCATCTACTCTGGCTTCGGACTCGGATTCCGGAGTTATTATGACTTCTTGCCAAGTGTTCAACGCTGATGAGCTTTCACCTGTAAATTCTTTGTCGGTCCTGTCGCCCAGCTGTTTTCCAAGGTGAGCCCGAGATGGCATTCGTGTTCTTGTTTTCTCCTTTTTCAACGCATGTTTGAAACCTAGCCTTGTGGCAAAGTGGGGAAAGGTTTGAAAAATGCTGCTTGTGTTAAGTTTCGATTGCAGTCATCGGGTATAGTTAATACCATGTGTTTTATGAAGCGTTAGTTCCATTATTTTGAGTTTGTGCCCAGCCGAAAGACGGCATTAAACGGAAATCCATTTTATATTTCCGTAACCATTTAAATAAATTATTTCTACGTTTTCTTTTTGCCTCAATTGAAGATCTGGAGATAGTGCTATTGATTCGATAATTGACTATTGGTGAGTTTTGTGATTGATCTGGAAATCCTCCGAGTTTCTCAATTCGCGTTGAATTGACTTTCGTATTTTCAGGAACAATCCTAGTCGAAGCCCTAGTCCGGCACCTTCTCCAAAAATGTGCAGGAGAACTCCTCCAAGTTCTCCGTCGTCAGTCGCACCACCCTCCCGACCCCCGCCTATTGAAAATTCGGGGTTGTTAGCGGCCAATACAGCTAAGGTTTGATCAAGTTATTGTTGTTGTTTGAAACTTCGACTTCAGTTTTGCTTGTTTTAAAGCAGACCGTGGCCATCACTGGGGAAGGGGGACGATTACGACGAGTGCCACCTTTGGAAAGAACTCGGGATTACGAGTTGATTCCTGATGCCATCTGGAAGGCTTTTAGTCTGTGGTACGGTGGTGGGCCTGCTTTACCTCGCCAGGTACGATTGTCGTGTAGAATTGTTTATACGAGTTCTGAGGTTTTTTTTGTTCGAATGCGTCGGCGTATCGCTTTGTTGCGGCATGCACTTCCTTTTACAGCTCCTACCCGCGTGACTGGGAACGTTATAGTTCGGCATCTTCCTTCAGTAATCAGCCATCTGGTCTGAATTCGTGCATGTATTAAAACAAAAAGGAAAATTCGGCATACATTTTGATTTTGTATTGAATTGTACGAAGGAAATTACCGGGGGAAAATGCCTGTAAGTGCGGAAAACTTGAAGCTTGAATTTTTGATTGTTGATTTCAAGAGTCGTCCTATTTACATCCAAAATATGCTCGAGGAAAGAGCGGAAATGAATCGCGTTTCGCAACAGATAGATTTTTTCTGCTCCTCATTCATCCGTGAACCGTGAGCCATGTTGCTTCGCGTAACCCAAACTACTTCCCCTCAGCATGGTTGCGGCCCAAGCTGAAGAACTCCATCCGTGAATCCTCAGCTTTTATATCCTAGATTTTAGCTTCCAAGGGTGACCATGCTGCTTTCCAGTACATTATAGTATGTAATTTAGCTGAAATACTGTGATAAGCTAGTGAGAACCAATTATAGCTGCAGATGAAGAATTTTAAGTCCTGAATAAAGTAATGCGTATCTTGTTTCACTCATGATTTTTCTCCTGTGAACATGTAATGGAACTGACTTCACGGAATAAAAAAAAGAGAAGTGTTGATATAACCCAAACGAGCTATGTTTGCGAAGATCGTCAGATCGCTTTTCAACGACCTCTCAGAATCGAAACTGTCGACCAATTGAGAATTTGCATTTATTTGAAAAAATTGGTACTGCCGGTAAAATTGAAAACACTGTGCGAATGGGATCTCTTGCTGATCGTAATCGGTGAGGTTTTGAATCCCGTAGTCAAGTTTGGCCTACTTCGAAACGGGCGAGTATTCTTTGTCCATGACTCATTGCAACTTTCGCAGCGCTTCAATTACTAGGGAATCCCGAAATGCGAGATTACAGTTGATGAATTTTCAAAACCTGTGTTTCTTCTTGTTTTGTCTTTAGGTGATCTACAAATCGCCTGCATCGGATGATCTAGAGCTCGAGTTGCATCCAATTTTTTTCAAGCTGTGGCGACATCAGGCTGTGAAGAAGCCTGTTGGCAATGGCGTCGCTTCACCTTATGCTTACGGTGATGCAGCGCAATCTAGTCTCTTTTCCACGTATGGATTGATGGCGGGTTATTCTCCAGCTGCTATGGGTGAGTCTAATGTCCCATACGAAGTTGTGATATCGATCTACAGAATATTTTCACTTGAACCATCTCCGCTGTTTTTTTGAGGATGTAATCGATGTACTGTAGATATTTCCCACAGTTATTGAAGCTAGGTAATCAGGTAACTGCTGCAGAGAGCGAATATATTTTCTATTGACTGTTTCAGGTCTAAAGAAAACGAAATGCTTTCATTCATCATTTTCAAGTGTGTCGTTCATTCAAATGACACTCATTATGTTCAACCTCTTCATTGCAAAATAGCATTCTTACCCCCCGGCATATTTGAAGCATTATTTCTTTCCATTTCAGTTGAATTCAGAGATGTTCTTTTTCAATGTGTGACGTATCCGGACAGCATTTCGGATCGCGGGATTCCTGTTACATGTGATTGTGTCATATCCATATGCAATACTAAAGAAGTCCGTTAGCTGAGTTACCCCTGTATTTGAAAAAAATAATTTGGAACTGCCTGTATCTGAAATTTTGTGATGTATTCCGTTACAACATTTTTCACACCCGAATGCTCTCCAATGCCTTGAATAAAATTAAATCCAGGCGCGTCTCACGTTTTTGGCCAGTTCACCGAGAGGTTTGCCGCTGATCTAATATTTTTCATCGTTGTTATGCTATAGTTTTTCGACGATTCTTCAGTTTTATTCGATAATTTTGAACGTGTTGATGCCTGTTTTACATATAGTATAATGTAGTTTGCCACGGTGTGATGTAATGCTTCGTGGACCTAGAAAGTAACTCAGAAAAACTGTATCATTTCTGTGTTATTCCTACAGCAAATCGATAAAAGGCGTCGTGGTTGAAAGTTTGTTATTAAACGGGGAAGAATTTACCGTTTAATCTCTGTTGATTCACGGAGACTTGAAAGAGGAAGTGCTTAACTATTTCTCATCATTTGATGGATCTTGTCCATTTCGGAAGGATGTCCCCGAGGCGAATTTTCCGAGAATTTAAAGCTATAGCTGTAGATGTCATGGATGAAGCATTGATTGATACGTATGCTTTATTCACAAACACGGCGAGTGACATTCTGAAATGATAACAAATAATTTAATGAAGAAATGTCTTCGGTACGTGAAGCTTATTTTTAGAGGTTGAAAGTGCTGAATGACATGTGTTGCGCTGGTGAACCGGATTGTGCTGAGAATATGTTTACTGAGATATACGTAATCTTTTTTTATTCGAATGATTTGTGCTTTCTTTGCGTGATCAGGTAGCGGAGGACTGAATTATTTCCCAGCATTGAACTCGATTCCTCGCCGTTACCTTGCGTATGTCGCTGCTTTCAGTCGCTCTGCCACGTGGCAACAAGTCATGACTTACCTGTGTAACAGACTGCGTTTACAGCCTGAAGATGTACGCCTGTGGCTTTTCAAGGATGAGGTGTGAACCAGTCTTGTGTGATCAATTATTTTATGCGAACTTCAATGTTGATTTTTTATTCCAGAATAATTTGACATTAATCGAAGACGAGTCATGTTTGTTGGAGCAAGCAAATTTGCTGGAAGAAGAGTCCATCCTCGTGGAAGTGCGCGATAAGGACCAAACGTGGCCAGAGGAGATGTCGTTGTTGGCGAAGAACCCAGAAGTCAAGATTCGTTCACCTCGTGAGACTTTCTTTTTCTTCGGAAGATGAATTTTTTTCGCTGTGATCATGTTACTACTGTACATATGGACTCCCTCTACAACTTTCTTGTCTACGATTTTCTCTGTATAGCGAATTGTTTTGATCCGATGGGGTTCTCTGTGCGACGCATTCTTTTCTGGTCCCTTGAATTTCGTTGTTGCGAGAGTCCATCTGTATTGAGTTGTTGCTGTCCGAAGCGTTTTCAGTATTTCTTGAGATATATAAGTTCCCTCTTTCGGAATATTTTGCAGAACCGTTGGCAGCTGGTGCTACTGGACTGAATAATTTGGGTAACACCTGCTTCATGAATGCCGCATTGCAGTGCGTTTCGAATACTCCTCCATTGACGAAATACTTTCTGCAAGACATGCATTTATACGAGTTGAACAGGTGCGCATTGATCCCTTTTTCCGTAAGTTTGTGATGTTTCTCTCGGAAGGTATTTTGTTGGTCCGTGTCAACTGAATAATCTTTCCCGCTAACTTCCGAACTGGGCAAATTTTCGTTTTTCGTTCTAACTGTGCGTTTTATTGTCTTCAGGACAAATCCCTTGGGCATGAAGGGTCATGTTGCCAAACGGTATGGAGATCTGATAAAGGAGATTTGGAATGGCTCTTCGAAAACGTTAGCTCCGATCAAGTTGAAGGTTCTGTATATTATTGATTATTAGGCAACTTGTTTCAGGAAACTGACGTTAACTCCTTTTTTAATTCATTCAGACCACTATCGGACGTTATGCACCACGGTTCAACTGCTTTCAGCAACAAGATTCTCAAGAGCTACTTGCATTTCTACTGGATGGATTGCATGAAGACTTGAATCGGGTACATGTGAAGCCATATGCCACTCTGAAGGTAATTTTCAATGGGAAATTGGGTATATTTCAATTTTATTGGTTCATCAGTTTTGATTTATTATATAAGTGAAATTCATGTTCCAAATCATGAAAATTTGGGACCCAGAAGTCGTTTTCGAACTTTCTAAAATTTTTCTTCGTTCATTCCTCAGGATAGTGATGGTCGTCCTGATGTGGAAGTAGCTCAAGAAGCTTGGGAAAATCATATATTGAGAAATAAAAGTATCATCGTGGATCTTTTCCATGGCCAGTTGAAGTCAAAAGTGACGTGTAAGGTTTGCGGTCACGACTCCGTCAGATTTGATCCATTTACCTACCTTACGCTTCCTTTGCCAATGGAGAACCTGCTGCGAGTTGAAATCATTCGTACGTATGAACATTTTCCTGCAGTTTGAGCCAATGGAACACCAGTATAATTCTCCATTTAAAAACTGGAAAAATGCATGCTGATGAAGTTTCAAAGCGTCACCGCAATTTTTTCGGCGATTATAATCGTGTAGCCGAAACTTTCCGCTTTCTTTTATCGTTGTTCAAACTTTAAAGGTTCGTAAATTGGAAAGGAAAAGTCTTTTTCGTAGTACTGTATTACGTTCCAAGACCCCGACCTCTATTTCTATTCTAAATTTCCTCTGCATTTTGTTATTTTTTCTTTATGTTTAAGGTCAATTAAAGTTTCTTACGTTCGGTTACATGAATTTGGTCATGTTAAATTATTTGAGGCTACGATTCGATTTTTTTAATATTTAGTGATTCAAACCCCTTTTGAAATTCTTCGAGTAAGGTTGATGTTCAGAATAGAGTGAAGAAAATACTATGGTGAGTTAAATTCAATTAATAAATCGAAAGCCGTCATGTTGTCTTTCTAGTGATTTTCTGCGAAGGGAAAACTCCAGTCAAGTTTGGCGTGAGGGTCGAGTATGGATCAACATTTGCATCCGTCAAAAAAGCGCTGGAGGAAATATCCGGGGTCTCAGGAGATCGCATGCTATTTGTACAACTGAGTGGGCCTGTGATCAAGGAAGTTATTGATGATGATGCCAAAGTGAGGGATTGGAGCTCCATCCTCAATTCTGGAACGCTCTTCGCTTATGAGCTTCCTGAATCTAGATCATCTGAGGTGTTTCCTAGATCTGCTGCACCACCTCTACGCACAAACGGGCATATACCGAACGATTCGGTAGGTTGAACTGGTCGCGAGCGTGATTTTTGCTCATCCTTTCATTGTTTTTTTTTCCTTTTTCTTCTTTTTCAATCAGGTGAGCAAACACCTTGTTCGCCGAAATGAAGGAAGCGCTTTAAATTTACCTGAGATTCGTGGTCCAGGGATCGCTGTTGCCTTTCACAGGAAAACCGTGAGTCGTGGAATTCATTGGTTTTGAAAGAAATTGTATTTATATTGTACTTTCAATTGTGTCCTATAGTTGAGACAAGACGTGTACTTCCTTTCTGTACATAAAACAAAAGCGAGCTTGTTTGGTGTTCCCCTCGTCATCCCCTTTCCAAAAGGCATTACGAATTTGGAACTTTATGAGGCAGTGTGGGTGCGAGTGTCCAGGCTTGTGTCTCCTGCTCCTGTTGTCGATTCTTCTTGTGCGAATCACGCTCAAGACTGGTGAGGTTGATTATTTTTTTCTGAGCATTCCATTTTCTGGAATTGGTTTTCTTTTATCAGTTGCAATGTGCTTGGTTTCGGAAATTGTTTTTGTATTTTCTCAATCGAAGTGTACAGTGTAATGTACCATAATTTTTCCCACGACCAAATATAGAAAGAATCTCTATTTTAAACGACGCTTTGCTTCATATTCCTTAGAAATCCGTGAAAGACTCGAAATCCAGTGTTTTCAAACGAAATCCAAGTCAAATCCCAACAAAATGACAAAAATGTAAATTGTACACCATGAATCAGCATTTCCTGTGAAATCTTGTCGAGAAGGCGAACAAATAAATTGTTTTTAACTCGAACCGTATTACAGTATCTTTGCTTCGTGTGTGTTGAGAAATGTAATGTAAAATTTTATTTCGAACTAATGTACAGCACTTCTCACCATCGTTCATTTGCATTGGTAATCGAAACGCAAGAAAAGGGATCAGGACAGGTTTATTGTTGGCATCGTAATAAGCCTAATTTTTATGAATAACGGTCGTGGATCATTCATCAACGATACCGCTCGAATTTTTTAGCTGATCGCAAAATTGAAGTTTCGCCGTTACGGGGAATAATTGATTATGTTGACGGCGGTCATGTTGTAGTATAATCGGTAATAATGTACCGTACTCTACTTGAGTGCATCAAATCGTTATTTTTCTTTCAACATTATCTCGTCGTTTTAGAAGATGATGTTGCAGGAAGGCCTTTCTAGTGATTTTCGTTCGACGAGGGGAATACAAGATATTCTGTATACATGTATTGTCATTCATATCTATGGTGAAAGTTCCATGTCCTAATCCAGAGATATTTTCTCAACTCGGACATCGTCTCCGTAAACCTCGCTTTCACAAACTGAAATAATCGTTCCTTTTTCTATCCACCGTACTCGTTTTGGAAAGGTTCTGTTTGCTTTAGAACATGAAAGATTGTATGTCGTAATGAGGTTTTCATGGTGGTATTGATACGTGTTATGTTTCTTCTACTAATTGACAACGTTGAAGTTAAATTGAACCTTTTTGATTTTACAGTGACGACAGCTTAGGTTACGAATTCCCATTCAGTCTGAAAGCCGTGAATCCCGATGGATCTGCTTGCGCCTGGTGTCCGTGGTACGAGTTCTGCAAAGGCTGTTCCATCCCGCCGAATGAAGCTGCCTTTATCAACCCGAGCCCTGCGAGTGTGTCGAATCCGAAGGGATTTTTGTACTTCGCCGTCGACTGGGATACAACTGCCATTCATCTGCGCTACCAGGCAGCTCTGGAGAGGGCGTTTGACACTGACGATTCTGTAGCACGGACTGAGAATGAGCAGAATGAACCCATTTCCCTCGATCGGTGTCTGGAAGCGTTTACGAAAGAAGAAGAGCTTGGAGAGAACGAGAAGTACTTCTGTACCTTCTGCAAAGTTCATCAGCTCGCAAAGATCAAGTTGGAAATCTGGCGACTTCCACCTGTCCTTGTAAGTCTTGTGAAATTTTCCGAATAGTCCGAAAGCTGAATCAGTAAAGTTGCATGCGATGGTTTCATATTTCTGCGTTGGGTTTAGAAGTTGATTTCCTATCAATGGGTAAAAATTTCAAGTAATTCATTTTTCACTGCTCACATACGAGGGACAGTGCAAGCGTTTCTTAAAAGTGTCGGGTTGAAAAAAAAAAAAACACGAATTGAATATTGAACGATAGATGGGATCATTCTGTAATTTTCTGCATCGCTTTTATTGCACACAATTCTTTGATTATGAAAATTCTTCTAAAAGACGATTTTAATTTCTAATCATTCGAAATTTTAGGGAAAATGGATACATTTTCGTTTTTAAGAATTTTAACCTACGCAATTCATACTGAGTTTTAAAGAATTATGTCATCTTTGGTTTAAAGAAATTTTCATTGTTACTTGTTTTTAATGACAAACTTAAACATAGGAACATACGAGGGGCAGGAAAAAGTTTCTGAGAGAAGTCTTCATTTCCTTGAAAGAAGATTTTACCACTTCTTGCAGAAGTGGTCCTTGAAAAATGTCTCTTGCATTGATCCCTACTAAAATTATTGTTATTAAATGAAAAAGTTGAACTGAAATTTATGTAATCCCTTTCTTCATTTGTGAATAAAAAAATGCAAGGCAATGGCAGTCACTCAGTAGAAGCGTTTGTACGACCATTCTTTTTCTCCATCGATTTGAAAGTATTTATCAGATTTGTTCGATTGATTTACGGGTGAAGCGCTCTATTTTACGATAGTGATTTTGGCTCATTCCTACTAACGTCAAGTTGTCACTTGAAAAATTTTACCGTTAGGACGGATCGTGGGAATCGTCTGTTTTTGCAAATACTGTAGGAAAAAAACGGCGCAGATTCATGTGCCCCAGATGTTGAATTTATCGAGCCAGTTTGTCATTTCTGGATTGAGCTTTCGAAAGCTTGCTAATTCTGATTATTCAAGGTAGGGAACAAAACAATGTTTTCAGAAGACGGGATAAGCGAGCGAATGGCTTTTTAAAATTTTATTTACCAACAGTCAAATGATCATGAACATTTTCTCAATTCACTGCTATGAATCGTGTGACGTGTTATGCAGTTGTGAAATGAATGAATCCCCTCTGCTGACAGATCTGGTCATACTATCGCTAGGAGTGGACTACCTTTTTACGGCTCACCCTCTCGAATTTCCTTGAATTTTTTCTATCATAAAGGGAAATTCATGTACGAATGCCGGATGTGAATATACCCTTCTTCAGTAGTGTGACCAAGTTTTGTTCGTTAGGTCCGGAAATCCTTTATGTCTAGGACATATCTTCAGAAGGTTTGGATCGAATCTTCGAGGTATAAGACGTTTAAGAAAAATTTTGAAAGATCGTCAGCTTTGTTTCGAAGTTTGTTCGCATATGTGTGAATTAAACAAAGCTAGATGCAGTAAAATCTTTTGTATGAAATACCGTGCTTGTGCGTTACGTCTTGGATGGAAAAAAAGGAAAGGCTGAATGTGCGGTTCTTCGGTTCAAATGATAAACGGTATCAAAGTTTTCGTTTTGCTTTAAGGAATTATTGATGGCTATGCATTAGTAAGCAGTACAAAAGGTTCGTTTTAGAAACTGGTTTTTACTCATTTGGGCGATCCATTGAGTTCGAGCTTTCATTAATGCTTCGATTATTATGTTTTATAATTCACATCATGTATGGGTTTTTCATTTTTACAGATCATCCATTTGAAACGCTTCCAATTCGTTGGCAACCAATGGATGAAGTCTCACAAACTGGTCCGATTTCCATTTCGAGATTTCGATCCGCATAAATTCTTGGCGTCCGTTCCACGAACTACCATAGATCGACAGAAGGTTGCCCGTGATGTTGAGGGCGTTGAAGGGTCCATTGAGGACAGCACGGGTAACTCTTCCTATTCTGAGCATGATCTAGTCAATGATCTGGTTGACCTCCGGCGAACCATCACAGTAAGTTATTTTGATTTCCGAAGTGTACTCGACCCACGGTTCATTCTAACGCTTTTCGAACCTGGGTTGCGCTCAAAAACGAATTTTAGGTTGACGAACGTTCCTGTCGTCATTGTTCGCCTGGTGTAAACTACAGTATTTACGAATTCGAATTATAGATGAACGGCGATGCCTTGAATGGTTCCGTGTCCGAAAAAAGCAATCGACAGCGTTTGGACTCCGTCACTAAGTGTGCCCTGAATTCAGCAGCTCCCCAGGATTTCCATCAGCATAAACTGAGAAATGGTGCCGATCCTTTCGACCTTGCGTATGACCTATATGCCGTTATCGTAAGTGGATATTACTGCTTTCTTGAATGCATAACAAAAGACCCGGGGAACGAAAAACCCACATGACGAGAATTTTCAAAGGGGAAGAGTGACTTCTTCAACGAAAATGTTCCACGGAAAAAACATTTTTGGCTGAAAAAAGCTCGCATTGTTGAAATTTTTGAGATGAAACTTGAGAATTGCGAAGAAGGATTCGGGAAAATGTCAGAAGGGCATAGGTTCTCCTCGAATTTTGTGAAATTCAGAAAGTCTGGAGCACATACTTGCCCGGATTCTTGTGTGTTACTGAATTTGAAATTTTATGCTGAAAACTAGGAAAAACGCACTTTTTAAATTTTATTATGCTATTTTGGAAACGAATCGAATAATTTATACTGTAATAACCTTAAGGAAATAGCGTTTTGCTTTGCATAACGAAAATCCCAGACGTCGAAACGCATATACGGAACGGATGGGTTTCGTTTTTCGGGGACTTACTTTTCAAGAAGTTGGACCTGTTGAAACAATTCAAGAAGTACTTTTCACAGGAAAAACCATTTGTCACCGAGTCGCCTCTAAAAACCATAATGTTTTTCCAGAAAAAAAGGAGTGTTTTTCTCAAGAAAACATGGCCCAACAAAATTGGTCGATTTTTACTGCCAATATATTGGTGATAACTTGTGAAGTTCAGAACATCCGGACGGCTGGAAAAAAATGTTTTTAGCATCTTCAACTGCTGAAAAGTCACCTGGTGTTTTCGAAACTTCAAACCCAGCACCTGGATATTTTTTCATCTCTCAACTCTAGTTCGAAATTTAGCTTAAATACCCCAGATTTTTCTGTAGCACACACACACACGAGACAAATTTCTCAAGTCGTACGTTGCGTTGCTATGATTTGGGAAGTCTTTTTAAGAAACATTCGAGCAAAAATTGTGTGACTGGTTTGGTATGTGTAAAATTGATAAGTTTTGAAAATTTTGATTTGAGAAAGAAAGGTCTGCGCCATTCGGGGATTATTCCTTGGATTATTCAAGAAAAAAGTTATATTCTTTGTACAATTCAACTGGCAACACTTCAGTGCTGTTCAATGCGGTCTCTGCTGACTTCAATGCATTTTTTCATGTAATAAACCCAATGATCAGTACAGTGCCAAAATTTTATTATTGCATTAGTTGATCAAGCTAATATTTCATGACAGAAATGACACTATCCCTGTCCTCAAAACCAATCCCTTTCAGATCATTCTTCACTGTGGGAACAGCCAAAAGTCAAAGAATCTTTTTTTCATTGATATTTTTCAAACATTTTTGCTGTTGAATTTTTTCATCATTTCAGAAAAAGTATTGCACCCTGTGACTTTTATCTTTTCCTGGCGGGAAAGAATGATCCAAAAGGCATTGATTTCGAGGACAGTGACTTGATTGACTAATGCAATAATCAAATTTTGGCAATGTTTTGATCATTGCATTTATTGCATGAAGAAATGCATTGCGGTCAGCACAGACTGTTTAACAGTACTGAAAAGTTTCCAAATGATGGGGCTAGGTGAATAAAATAAAAAATTTGAAATTGTTGAAACTTGGTTGGATCTATTTTTAAACATTTTCAAAACTTATGAACCAACCCTTTTATATGGTCTCAGCATAAGGACGAGGAATGGTGGGAAAAACCTAGTTCTGTATATTCTTGTAAAGCAGAATCACCGTAACAATTTTTTTTATACATACACACAGAGAATACTTTGATGGCAACTCTTTTGCTGCTCATTCTACTTCAGTCATCAAATAATTTCTAACTTTTTTCAAATGCCATATATACTAGAACATACATAGTTTTGAAATAGACCACAGCTTAGAGGTATTAAAAATTGGCAGCAAATCCAACTATTCAAACACTTACTAAATTTACTATGAAGAATGCCTGTTAAATTTACAGTTTCCTGAAAATAAATTATTTATTTCGCCAGTTTTGGCGTTTATTAATGTCTGTCTATTTCTTGAATTGTAAATAATGGCCGGTCTCCAATAGGAGCCGGTCTCCAATAAACGCCGGGGGGATAGGGACAGTTTTTTTAATAGACACCGGGGGCGTCTATTGGAAGATATACGATACTTGAATTCTTTATTAAAACCGTACATGTGCAAAGAGGGGGTAAAAGTTGTTGTCATGAGGGGTAATGAATGCGGTGCATTGTTTTCCGATTAGTTAACGTAGATTTTAAAACAGTATTTGTAACTGTCTTATTTCCTTAGACATACAATACGACTTTCGTGTTAGCGGGTTGGTTAACATTTCCGTCGCTATCATATTATTGATAGCTTTGCATGAACCGTAGTGTAGTCGAAAGGGAATTGGAAGTACCTATACAGTACTCGAGTAAGTGGATTTTCATTTCCGCTAACTACCTCAGCTTGACGGGAGAAATTGAGTTATCTCGTTCGGTTAGTTTAGATTATTTACCCTGCATTTCTGATACCCTCCACAGACGGTCGTTGTGAACCAGATTTTTCATTTCGTTGCCTCTGATTTTTCAGAAGCACAGTGGCATCATGGGAGGAGGTCATTATACTAGCTACGCTATGAATGGAGCGACTCGAAACTGGTACTTCTACAACGATAGTTCTTGCAAGGTAAGTTACGGTTCAGACGGATCGTAGAAATTGTCTGTTCTTGTAAATATGAACAAAAAATTGCGCGGATTCGTGTTCAGAGACAATTGCTTTTATCGAGCGATTAGCTTCCTCTGTGCCAGAAGCTTTCAATGTACGAGAGAGGTCGAATAGTTTGATACAGGCTGGTGTGGGAAAAGATAGCATTTCCCCTGAGACAAGATAAACGAGCACCGGTTTTTTTTTTTTTTTTTCGTACAGATTTTGAAAATTTTTGAATTTTACCGCAATGAATCATGTGACGCGTTTCAACTGTTGTGAGGTATTGAATCAATTTATCTCTTATGCCGACTAATCTTGTACTTAGAACAGTACTGTATTTCCAAAAATGATCTACTCGTTTGTGGTACACTCCCGGAATTTCTTGATTTTCATTTCTTTTGATCCAGAATTTAAACTCGTGTGCGTACGAATGCCTTGTGTAAGAAACCCCTCCTTAGTATTGTAACGAAGTACCCGCTTATGAAATTCCATTGCGTTTTCTTCACATAGTGCCGTTACATGCAAAACGGTTGTTTGATCTTGGTTAGGCGAAAGTAATTGAATGCACCGGGATTTTCCGTGTACTGTACTGTACTTATAGTGAACTGGAACCCTCGGTAATTTTTACCCCCGTCGGCATGGGTCTGAACTGTTCGTGTCGCGCGCCGAAATGGCCATTAGTGAAGAAGAAGCGATTACACTAGATCATTATTGATATTGTATTCGTTTTGTTTTTTTCCAGGAAGTATCAGAGTCGCAGATCGATTGTGATTTGGCATATATTCTCTTCTACGTGCGAAGAGATTTGGACGAAGCACAGTATCTTCCGCATGTGCCATCAAATGCGAAATTGCCGGATTTGTCCGAACTCGAGGATGAGCTCGAAACGGACTACCGAAAGTACTGCAGCATTGTCTGAGTTTCTGAGAATCGAACAATGCGGGCTTCTTCCAAGCACCGAGGTGAACAGTGGTCGTTCAAGTCGAACATATCTTATCGGAAAAAATTCCTTTTTTTATAAAACGGAGCCAGTCTGCTGATTGTTTTATGTTTGAAATCAAGCGGTGCAATACGGAATAGTGCTTGGTTTGGATGTTACGCGAAAGGATGTTAGGAGTAGCATATATTTTGTTGCTGTTTGATTCTGTGAATTGTGCATCGAAACGAACGGTAAGTTTTCGACGGATCATTGTTGCGAGAGATTTTAAAGCGATCGGAGCTGTGAGTTTGGTCAGCATGCATTCTGCTTCACGGGTAACAGGATAGCAGTTAATTCACGTGGAACATCTCTTGTCTTGCCTCGTGTCTGAGTTTTGGATTTTTTCATTTATTTGATCTCTTCGTCGACCATTCCGAAAGGCTTTTGTGGAATCCGCGCCTGCACAAGGTAGAGTGTTGATGCACACAATTTTTCCGTGGATGGGGGTTCATTTTTTTTTATTTGTGCTCCTTGATTGCGTTTGCACTCGGTTTTTACTTGCGTTTATTTTTTGGGACGATGATTTCCCTGCGCTGTGTTGACATCTTTTTTTTTTTTCGCCTGGTCGACAGACTTTTATTCCGTGTGTCAGCGTATGGAACGCATGCGACACGTGAAAATTCATCATGTTGAGAAAATTAATGTCCTGTGCCAGGACTTCGCGAAGTTCACCAGAAATGCAAGGTATTCTGAGTCGGATGGAGAAGTTTTCATCACGTAAGAATTGCGTGAAATTGATGTTAGACTACACTGCTTCTCTGTCGTTAGCTCATGAAACAAAGAAAGCCGAGATGTTTAAATCATGATTGCTCAATTTCGGATTTTCACGAAAAGCAGCTAGACAATATGCTTCGGAATTGCTTAATTCTTCAATGACGCGACAAGCGGATGAGTTCGATGTCTAGAAAACGCTGCGAAGCTTAGTAAGCTTTTTCTCATCTTGGCAGAACTATAGTTGATGAATTACACAATATCTGTGCGGGATCCGAATGCTTCATTTGGTACAATATCCATCATTAGGCTTTTTTTTCTTTAGAGGACTGTCCGAGTATGATGAACTATCCCATGCAGAGGCAGAGACGGTCATTTATATGAGCTTTGAAGCTTCTGCCTTTTAGCCTTACTTGTTTCGAATAAGATACATTACGTATAATCAATTTTTACGAAGCATTGGGTTACAAGCATTATTGGAACGTTTTGCGGTACATTTTTTGCTATTCTGACACTGAACTTATCCTTTTTCCATAAAAATCATTTATTTGTCGAGATGGTCTGCTGGTTGATGCAGTTCAATTTTCGTCAAATTTGAGGTAATAAGCTTTTTTTTTTAATGTATTTATGTCCCCTCCGCACGTCTTTGGCGCCTTTATTGTGGCAATGCTGCGATTACCGGTATTGAGGGTTTCCTACCCTCAGTGAAATGGGTTACTCCTGCATTTACAACCGAATTGACGCTGGATAAACGAATGCGAGATCTTATGTATCACTTGCACAATGAAAGGAGCGCTGACATATATTTACTCGAACTTCAATGCACATGAGTTTTCCACGGATATATCAATCTTTATCACGAATGCAGTCATGTAATATTTACAGAGGAATATAAATTCCTGCTCATAAAATTAAGGCAATTGGATGTTGAAAAGAGCTAGGATATTCTGCGCGTGAATAGAGCAGGTAAGAGTCCACCTATGTACTGTATATCAAAAACACGTTTGATGAATTATTTTGGCAATACGCTTTCCTATTGTTATTCATTCAAACAGGTATTGTACATGCTGTTTTTATACTATTCTATACTGATCCGATCGCCATATTATCTGAAATCTTGCCTTATATATGATCCTGCATCAACATTTTAAGCCTCGTGATACTGATATACTGCTGTTATACCAGTGTTCCCCTACATTTTTTTTAGACTCATGGACCGCAAGTTCCGGAAAATTTTTCGGGGACCGGCAAACATTCAATAAATTTTGCAGTACCCGAAAAGTTCTGATTTATTCACAAATTGAGTTAAGCACAATTGAAGCAGGCGTATAGTGGAATGCTTTTAAAAATTAGCAAGGTCGGCTTGAAGAAAGGTTCATCAGAATGAAAAAATTAAAATTACCCTTTTTTATTTCAGCAGCTGTAAATTTATCTGAGGTGTTGAGAGAAAAGCCAACTTTTTTCATCTGATAATTTCAACTGTGATTATCCTTTCAAAAATTTAGGTAAAGATAGCAAAAATTCATCCGTAATTTCGATTCATGTATTATGATGAAAATTTCAGGGGACTAGCAAAAAGCTTCTGCGGACCGACGGCGGTCCGCGGACCATATGGGCTGGGGAACACTGCTGTACATTATCTTGTACCATATACAGTCCTGGTATCTATCATGAACATTGTCTGGAATGCTCTGGGAAAGTCAGTCCGATGGTTTCAATTGCATGAGGGATTAGGCCCCCAAGACGCAATGCACTTGGTTAAAATCCTAATATTTTATTGCAATAATGTATGGAGAGTACATTAAATATTGTACAATTTTACGGTATACAAGCAATTACAAGTCTACAATTGAAGACTACTCGCACATGTATGTGTACAGCATACAGAACGATGTCTGCATTCATTCTATAGATTAAGTGCTTTTCATTCAACTCAGAAGGAACGATTCAATACAACTCCTAGACTGTAAACTTCAACGTAGAAACGAAGCAATATTGGGGAAGACTTCTTTTTTTGCAGAGCTTTTGCATTGATAGAAATTGTATAGCTCCAGGAAGCTGCCCACAAGAGCGCGTTGCTCTTTGCACACATGGACGCCTACAAGGGACACGTGCCGCTCACCTCACAATTCGTTGATCATTACAGTATTATGATGGTCTTTTTGCAGATATGAGTGAGCACTTGTCTTCGTTGAATTGTGATTAAGAACACTGAATAAACGCACGGTTTGAATTCTGGGTTGGAATCAAATAATCGTATCCGGAGAATTCTTCAGGAACGGAAGTGCTATCTGGGTAAATTCATGTGACTCGTGGTGTCGGCATTGAGTTTAATATCGTGTTTTCACACGATGTCGATTGGGCGGACATCAAATGGCAGCGTGCTACTAGCTAAAAGACTCATGCGTGAGAAGAGGGACATCACGGAAAATGCTCCGGAAGGCGTTGTATTCTCCGACAGTAGCGATTCTCTGATGCGTTGGAACGTTGACATTGTTGGTGCATCTGGAACCTTGTATGAAAATGAGAGATACACGCTTCGCTTCAAATTCAGTGCGGCCTATCCATTTGAAGCTCCTGAAGTGGTGTTCGTCGGAGAAGAGGTTCCTGTCCATCCTCATGTTTATAGCAATGGACACATTTGCCTTTCCATTTTGGGAGATCAGTGGTCTCCTGGTGAGTACAGCACCATTTCATGTATTCCTGCTTCGAAGAGCTTAGAATTTCCCAATTTTCAAGTTTTAAGTTGCACTCAAATATTCAAGTTCGTCATCTGTTGATAACCTGGACGACTGAAAGTAGTGGAGCTATCCTAGTTTATTCCGGTGGCTTTCTTGCGTTACTGATGCAGGCATTTGCGATGCTTTGATGGATGTTGCAGTTTTGAGTGTCAGCAGCGTTTGCGTTAGCATTCTGTCGATGCTTAGCAGTTGCAAGGAGAAGAAAAAACCACCGGACGATTCTGCATACATGAGATATGCTCCATCAACGCCTCGGAATACTACCTGGCATTTTCACGATGACGATGTCTAGGTGTTCTTCGCGACTGTACTTGACAATCCCCGAGTTGATGGGGGATGTCAGAACCAGTTGACGAACTCGTGCTTCGCGTTTGGAAACGAAGATATTTATTTTTCGGTGGATTCCGTTTCCTGTGATTTTATGTTTTCAGTGCATATAAGAATGCTCCCTGTTCACGTCACGGAAGTCGCCTGAGGGCTGTGAATTTAACGAATGAAATCCGTTGAAATGATTGTCATTGAAGAATCATGCCTCCTTCCCGGGTAGAATTGATTTTTCTGATCCTTGGTCGCACCAAGGTTTACCGATCATATTCATGCGGAAATTCTTTTGTGGTACGGATCGTGAATATGATGCTTCACGCGTTATTTCCGTGGAAGTCGATTTGATGCTGGCCAAACTGCGAAGATCTTCCTTCGAACTGCTTCTTGTTCGATATTAATCCAATTCAAAGAATGCGCCGAGAGATGACTCATCGTATTCCGGACATTTTCGCGATTTTAATAAGTAATGCCAACTGCTGTAATTATTGAGCCTCCACGGATGTAATTCGTCTTACTGTGGTCTACATCGGAAGCATTTTGCTTACTCGGAGGAATACTGAACGTTTCGAATGGGACGAGTATTCTTCGATCATTCATCAATAGTGTAAAACCAGAAAATTTTAGATAATGCTCGCACGAACAGAGTCTTTGGAAAAAGTTGAAAATCTTTAGGAACAGATCTGTTTGCATGGGACTTTCTTGTACAGTAGATGATTAAATTTTTTTTTGGCAGGAACGCTCAATTATTCACTCACTTAGTGCTCCTGAATTGAGTCGTGATTTGAGTTAAAATGAATTTGCTTTTACGAATTGGTTGTGTTGTTTCGGTATATAAGACGAGATGTCTGGTGTATGGAACTCGTTTTTCTTCATCTGTGGATCTCTCTTGATCCCGTCGAAAATATTGCAGTACGTGCCGGCGTTCGCGTCCCATCTATGATTCGAAATGAAATGCTCATACAGAAGCAAACAATAGAAAATGCCTATATTTGGAACTAGTCGAGGTAATGTTTCCTCGAAAAGTTACTGGAGTTCAGCATTTTGAGCGTGATATTAGCAACGACAACTGCTTTCCGAATCCTTCATACGTGGCGTTCGTTTATTTCGCATGCATTGTTAATACCAGTTGAATACTGTATTTTGTTCCTTTTTTAAGTGCTTGCTTTGAGGTTTTCGGTTGCTCGCGTGATTAAGTCTAGTCAAGTGATCGCAGTTTTCTTCTTTGTAAGTCCTCGTCTATCTCATGTGCATGAATCCATTCTATTCTAATGCATGCTTGTATGTACAGTAGTAGGTTGTATTTCATTTTCACCTCGGGGAGACATTAACATCATGAAATCAATATCTGTGCGTTGTGGACTTGTGGAATGGTTTAGTGTGACTATTTCACGCGGAAGTATGGAATAATTGCTGTGTTTCGGATAATTTATTTTTTTAGCCGTCCTCTGGTCTTCTCCGGTTGTGATCTATGTCGGTAATCCCACCGTTCTTCGCTCATGATGTGGTCCAGACCGTTATTTTCTGTGTGTGCCATTGGGTTCGATTAATTTGGTACAGATGGAAGTGTCCGCGAATTTCACGCTAAATTACCGAACAAGATAGTAATCCGAGCATTTATCTGCGATGATTTTCGGTTGAGGTTCTGTACCATTTTATGATTTATCGCGTCATTTGTGGTGCGCTCTTTGGTGTCGATATGTTATCGTTGAAAAAAAGATCTGTCGTCTACTGCAATTATTGCATTCTCGTTCTACTCGCACATGAATATAAGTGTGCGTGTTAGTGTCACATCTTGTGGGAATTCTGCATCAGCCTTTCTTTCATTAACCTGACGATTCTTCTGCCCAACGCCACGATAGATAATAATTCCTCAAATTCTTCGTATACCTGAGCATTTTTTGTGGGAATCATTCTTTTGTCTGTTCTGACAGTGAATATGATAAAGTTGTTACAGCAGTCATTTGAATAGGTACCTTGAAGAGGTTGAATTGTATTTGAGCACTTTCTAGTTCCAACTGTTAAAGAGAGACTAAGGCCTTGAAGTACAGTGTTTTACTGTCCTTTCAATTGAAGAAAATCCTATTCCTTTTGGGAGTATCAACAGAAATATATATTCAGGTCTTCATTGTAGACCTTGACTCTGCCAAGAGAAAATGTCATTTCAGCATGCGTTCAATCGGATCCTGGAAATGCATTCAGTTGATGATGCCATGAATTTCGCGATAATAATTCAACGACGTCAAATTCTTTCCGTGCGTGGACGTTGCGTGTGTGGATGTGTTTATGGGTTGTCGATGTAATATTGTTGTTTTAGCTTGGAAACAGAAGCAAATTCTTCAAAGTAAAAATAGTTCAATACTATATTGAAAAATTATTGATTCAGTAAGATGTACAGTACAGCAGTACCTTAAAGTGCGGTGCGTGACAGCAACAATGCATTACGAACAGGAGAGGTCTTGGTCATCGGAAATAAATTGAGGTAATTGCAAGAAAAGATGTCAACTCCAAAATTTTCAGGCATGAAATTTGGAAAAATGTAAGATGCGCTCCATACTTTCATCCACTGGATAGTCATTTTTCAGAAATGAAATACTGTTCGAGAAAGTTTTATGGACCGAAATGGAATCTAAATAAAACTGACTCGGCTGCATTTATTGAAGACTGTCTCACCTGTGAAAAAGTTGATGCTGTTCAGAGGAAAGCTTCCTTCAAACTGAAGTAAAAAAAGGTTGACTCTTCCTACTACAAAACTCGAAGGACCAGAAACAATTCGTTGTAGAGAGGCCCCTCCTGCATCAACGAAACTAACAATGTATCCGCAACGTTCAATTAAGGGTACGTAGTTGAATAATGATCAAACTTCGAATTTTACAATCTGCTGAATATTTCATGATTTTTCATTAGATTTTATACTAGAATGGGATCATTTATAGTTATTGTAGGCATTATCCATTGAGTTTAAAATTTCCGGACCAACTCATTTTCGAGGCAAATTCCTTTGAAAGGATTATAGCATCCTTGGAATGAAAAAAGGGTGAAACCAGAAGCATCTGAACAGAAGTGACCAAGTGTTTCCAATTTCGGTAATACTGTAGCATGAGTTTGCCTGTAAAATCTCATGAGATTTGTGTTGCAAGGTTTGCGTGACAAGAAGAATGCATGATGTGCTCGTGTGAAAGGCCTCATGTATGAGGGATGCATTTACCGAGTACTTCAACTGTACTGTACTTCTCCCTTGTGAAGTTTCTAGTTTGCTCTCCTTTCACACAATATACTCGTATCGATGGTGTGAAATGATACAGCGACGTTGGCAGTTTTTTCCCCAGATCGGCAGGTTCATCGACCTAACCAGGATCTTTCCAGGAAAGAGGAAACCGCGGGACGAATCGGATCAATTGTCGCTGCATCCTGTCAATTACCTGTACGGACTCACCTTGGGGCTTCAGCGAAAGTCTAAGTTCTATTTTCAACTTCGAAATGTCTGTGATCAGGGTTTTTTTTAAACAAGGCACAACGGATTTTAGTTCTGGAGAGATTGAGTCAATGAGTTATCTTCCGTCATTCAATGGATACGATCATGCAGCTATTCGTTTCGTTTTATGACATTGTTTCCTTGAGGCATCCTAAACCGTGTCCTTTTTAAGAAAAATAATTCATTTTTCATCTATAATTTTTCGTCATTTGCCTGCAAATTATAATGACAGGATGTCCAGCAATAGGAAATAATCATCACGAGAGCGCGGAATTCATTACTCAGGTTTATTTTCACCCACAACCGCTGTAAAAAGGAATCTTCTTGAATTTTCTCTGCTTGTGTCTTGTTCATGCGAACCCCTCAATAAATGCACATAACGCGTATTAAGTGTCCCACCCAAATTATAATCTTGAAAATTCCTTGTTTTGTCCTAGAATAGAGAACCATCTTCCTTTGCTGAATGGATCAACTAAACTTCAATTTTCGGCAAAGTGTTGAACTCGGCATCCGTAGCTTTCAACGTTTGTTTGCAGCTTTTCATCCTCTCCAAAACACAGCATTGCTGATTTTGACGAATTTTCTTGATCCTATAATGGAGCACGTGTTGCTTGGGAAACATGCTGCAAGAAGATATTGGTAGAGAAACCACCGGAGAATCCATTTTTCGATTGTAAACTATAAAATATGATTTTTTAATGCTCCTACATACTTCGGGCTAGTTTGAGCCGAAACGCGTTGTCGATTGATATTTACTGAGAAGTGTGCGGTCAGTGAAGTGAATACAATTCCTGCTTTGGATGCCGTTATAAAACTTTTTATGAAGCTATTGAGATCAAATGAGCCGTTTTCCAAGCAAATTATGGTCATGAAGAAAATAATAGAGCACCCTATATATTTACCATGCAGCTAACTTCACTGATTTATTGCATCCACTCAAGCATCCGTTAATTAGGTTGGGCGAATCGCTGTTTTTTGTGCCAAAAGAAAAAGAAAGTTCGCTTGCTCTAAAACTAGACGCATTTTTCTGATCCAGCTGCGAAGTTCTTCGTTACCAGAAGAGCCCGTTGATTCCATACTCACGCTTCATTCATAATAAGATTCTCAATATTTCATGACATGCAATTCTTGCAATCTAATTCGGAATTTTATAATTCTTTCTCTGGAACTGGAAACCTATGGGTATGATTTTTTGGATTGCACTGCTGCAAGCTAATTTTTATAAAATTGTTCTGGTCAAAAGTACTGTACGTTAAATGCTCAGCAAATGATGGCACTATTTTTGGAAAAGAAAATGCCGATATAGAGGAAATGCAGGCGAGGGAGGATTAAAAAAAAAAGTCCGTGATCCTCTTGTATCCCTTCTTTCATGCTGTCTTGAAAGATTAGCGTATTCTGAGGAAGCCCCAAGAATACTATTGACAAGTAGAAAACGTTTTAGCCCAGGAGTGACACAGTAATACTTTTTCGTGGCCAGGTCTTCCTTCAAGGTTTTTTATAGGATTTGTGGTACCGTACATTGCAACAATTTCCTCGGATTTTGTTGTAACTTTTGGCTCGCTTTTATTATATGCTCCAGTCTCGTGATTCATCTAAAATTGTTTATATGAATTTCTTGTACATAACTGTTTGTTGTTTCTCTTCGTAAAATATGTTTTAACCAATAAATTTTTTTTTGATACCGGCATTTTCTCTTGGCGCGATCATTTCAGTCCGACTTTACCGGATACGTTCGTGTTGTAAACATTTTAGTTGACGTTAGATTTTGATATCTTTTGTTGGAGGATTGTTCAGAATACAATTGCATCTTGCTATAATGAGGCTTTAATGTTTACAACGAATACCCTATTTACTGGAGTACCTTGCGCACTCCTTGTTTTTTTTTTTCAAGAAATAAAAGTGTATTCAACCTCCACTGGATTGGGTTACGGATTGATGCTGTGGATATATAGACTGGGAGTAAAAATAAAAATAAACTGGTCTCGAGGGGAGATGCGGTAATATGGGGGGGGGGGGCAACATAGGGGGTGTGAGTCATAGTCTGCTGGTACTAATTTTCAAGTGACATTTTTTTTCAACTTCGACATTTCCTTCCACTTTATAATTTTTTGCAAGTTTCTTTCTTAGAATTCTGTGATTTGCATGAGAGAAAAACATATACATTGAACTCCACTTTTAAAACTGGCTTATATTTAGTTGCTCCCCCACTCCATGTGTTTGAAAAAAATGAGTTTTGTAACTGAAAAATTAGATGCGAGTCTTATGCGGGGATGGCATTTTTACCAAAATTTGAGCTAAAAAACTAAGTCGCGGGTCTTACTTATTGAGGGCGCATTGCACTCAATTAAATACAACATAGCTCACAGCAGGTGGACTCTCTTGACTACGATCTTGTCTGTACCAATTTTCTCTGTGGTACGATTTTTTTTGGTCCCATAAATAGGGTTCTCTTTCCGTGGCATAGAGGTTATTTACAACAAAATTCAAGGAACCCAAAAGAAATAGAGAGATGAGTCAACCTGAGTACATTTTAAGGTTCCAGCAATGATACTGGCCTGTATAGGAAACGCTATCTTATTCGAGTCTCCTCTGCAGCAGTTCAAATTATTTTAAACTGATTATGCATTACTATACTAAATCTTATGCTGATGCATTTTTTTCTTGCAGATGTGGAGCACATGGCATTGCTGGAATGAGATTCTATACCACTGAATTCAGGAGGCATAAAATGCATTGATTTTTCGGTGTCCCAATTATAGTTTAATGATTTCTTGGGCGCCGGATGCGTGATGAAGCGGAAAATACGCCGCGGCCTCGCTCCAGGCGACGTCCGTTTGAACCTCGACCATGTTGACGTCCGGACCCAGAACAGATGCGTCGATTGAACATCGATTGAATAAGAGACAGGTTCATTTTATTTTATATATCTTTACAATCTTTTATATCTGGAATACTTTGCCACGTCCTCCTTCATGTTATTGCGTGTCCCTTCTTTTGTTCGTTAATTGTTCCTCTCGTCTGTGCTTCTGATGTCGTGGCGCTCTCCTTTCACACCCGCGGTAGTAAATCGAGAAAGTCATGGCGTGAGATTACCAAAGAAAGAGGGGGAGTGGATTCGCCACGCATCCGGATTCCACGCAGGGTCCCTTGACCTGGGCCGAAATGATCCTTTATGGGCTGTTTATAATTATCACCGTATTTATTTGAGTACCACGCGCAATTTCTTAAAATCAAAAATAAGTGAAAAAGGGGGTGTGTGTTATATAGACCAGTGTTCCTCAACCTCTTTGGGCCTGCAGACCAACAAATTGCCTTAAAATGTTTGGCGGACCGGCGAATTCCACAGAAACTTTTTGCGGACTGGCAAAGTTTTGCAGGATGCTTTATGGCAGGTATTTAAAAAGTTTCTGCTTTTTGAAAAAAACAAAGATCCAATGAAAGCAGGCACACAGTGGAACGTTTCCAAAAAAAATTAGAAAGGCAGGCTTGATCCGCTTGAAGAAAGATTTCTCAGACTGAAACAATTAAAATAATGTATTTCAGCATGTGAATATTTTTCTGAAGT